TGGTTTTTTCAGAGTTCCTCAGGGCAGCTCGCCTGCTGCTTGCCAGGGGCGCTGCCTCAGAGATCTTGAGGGGCCGGGCTTGCAAACCGGTCGACGTGCCTTTGGCTAGAGATTCACTGTATCCTTCCTTGCAAGAGGAAAAGAAAAAATGTAAAAAAAAAAAATGGCTAGTTCAAAGTCAAAATTCTTCTTGCATGGCTGTGAAGGGTCCGGGTTGCTACAAGGTCACAGGTTTCAGCCGTGCACTCAGCAGAAAGCGGCCCTGCTGATCCACACCACTCCCGGAATGTGTGATTTGTGTCGTGTCCCAGAAAGCCCTGTCACTTCAGCAATGCTTGTTAATCCACCAAGATAATGTAATTACACTGGATTTTGTAAGCACAGAACAGGGGTCTCCTATGTGGGTACCAGTTTTTCAATAAAACTTCGATTCTGGGCAAACGAAAAAGTTCATCACTATGATATGATACAAACAAAAACTTCTAAACAAACATCCAACAACAGGAAAAGAGATATTAAGGTGTATTTATACAATGACCTGCGAGGTGAAGGAAACAATCTCATCCTTCTTATGAGTATTCGGAGCTGAGTCTTTTTGTGTTGTTTTCAGCGGAGACCCTTTGCACCGAGAAGCTGCATGAAAAGACCAGCAAAGAGCGGCTGTGGGTGCTGGGGAACCCTGACGGTCGGGGGCCCACTGTGCAGGCCCACCTCCCCTCATGTTACAGAGGCAGGTGCAGCGGCCTGGGGGGAGGGAGATGCTCTAGAGAACCTACAACAGCAAAATGCCGCCGCCACCTCTTCTTGGAGCGGGGAGGCCTTAAGTCAAACCCACTTATTGGACCCACTGTGTGGCAGCTCCTGCCGAGGAGCTGGAGGTATGAATGAGGCCTGCGGTGAATGCCAGCACCAGACCCCCTACTTGCTTGCTGCGTGCGGCGGGTGGCTCCAGGTGTCCGGATCCCAGCCACCTGGCAGGGGGCTGCACACACCCGTCCGCAGTCTGCACAACGCGGACAGGGGCTCATCCTCCATCCGCGCCTTGCCCCTACCTGCTGTGTTATTAGAATACGGTAAAATGAAAAAAAAAAGCTTCTAGTTCTTCCTTTGCCTCAAATACAAGGGCGATCTTGGGATCCTTCCTTTCATTTAAGCACCTTTTGTTATAAATTATTTTGTGAAAATATATAACTTGACATTAACCTCGAGAATGATTATAGATGATTTTTCTTTTTTCTTTTTTTTTAAATTGTATTTATTTATTTTTAGAGAGGGAAGGGAGGGAGATAGAGAGAGAGAGAGAGAAACATCAATGTGCGGTTGCTGGGGGTTATGGCCTGCAACCCAGGCATGTACCCTGGCTGGGAATCAAACCTGGGACACTTTGGTTCCCAGCCCGCGCTCAATCCACTGAGCTAAGCCAGCCAGGGCCCATAGATGATTTTTCTTAAAACGAAGAACGGAGTCAGTTACCTTTATTAGTGCCTACTGTGCACCAAGCACTGTGCTCGCCTCGTCCCCATAAAGCACCGGTTCCCAAAGTTTTTGGCACCAGGGACCGGTTTTTCCACTGACTCAGGTGGAGGGAGTTGGGGCAGGGGGGATTCATTCACTTGCTCGCTGCTGCTTACGCCTTGCTGCACGTGGCCCCAGTGTGGGGAGAGGCAGGGGGCTTCTCTCTGGGCCCAGTTCCTAACGGGCCATGGGCCGTGGGGGCTGGGGACCCCTGCCATGAAGCACCTAGTTTCACAGAAACACAGATACCAGGACAATGGCTGTAGTGGCCTCGGGGGTGGCCCGTGGAGGGAAGGCTGCCGCAGGGCTGAGCACAACAGAGTCCATTCTCCCTCCTGTGCCTGTTGACTTTGTAAAGGATCCCGTCCTGTGACCATTCTGTCCACGGTCAAAACAGATCCAAATGTGTGGACTCACGTCCCAGGCCATTCCAATGGTCTTTAGCAATGATGTGACTTAACTGTGGTTTGACTGCAACTGGCATAAAGGTCTTCAGCTGCTTTCTCATTAGGCCCCCCCACCCGGGGCCAGGAAAGGGTTTGTTTACAATTTGCATAACCATTGTGTAGGCGGATAGGGACATTGCTTAGTGACCTATATGCTTGCTTGCTAACCTGTATTTTTTTTTTCCGGGTTGAAACCATCAGTCCCACACACTTATTGATTTTATACACAACCGCCAACTAGGTTACTCTGATCACGTATCAAGTAGAACTGAACGGAATCCAGGGTCCCTGCCTTGGGTTACAAGGTGAGTTAGGGAGGCAGCCTATATACATGACACTGGCACAGGAACGCTCGGAAATTCATGTCACAACCACCGCTTAATAAACGTTGCATAGTGGAAAGAGACGTCGTTTGCCTCTACCCCACTGACCTGCAGTCAGTGAGTGGTCTTTCTCAGCGGCCTTAAGCTAAGCACGGTCTGTATGGTGCTGGACTTTGCATCTGAAGCTCCTCGAGAAATATCTGACAAAGAGCAGATATTCGACAGATGCTGAACGGAATAGTTCGTGGTCTCAGGCAGATGAGTTTAATCAAAGAATCCTCCAAGGGCCATGTTTTTCTAAAAATAAACTTTTTTTTTCTGATCGTAAAGGTGATACATGCTCATTCTATCTAATTCAAAAAGTGCTATGGAAAGTATAAATTACTTTGTTCCACCCATTCAGAAATAATCTCTATTACTATTTCTATCTAGTCTTTTTCTATGGAGTGACTGTCTCCTTAGCCATTAACATTTCATCACCTTACTTTTGTCGTCTGCATAATATTCCACAGATGGGCAGGTTGTTGCCATTTTTTGGCAATTATAAATATTACTTCAATGAATATTTTGTTTATATTTTTCCAAAAGGATCTCAGGCTACATCTCCAAACATAAAACTATTGGGAACATTTTTAAGATTGTAAATAAAGTTGCCACACTATTTTTCCAGAAAGGTTAGTCCATTTCCATTCCCACTTGAAGGGAGATTGTCTCCCACAATACTACAGGAATAATGGTTTAAGCAAGGACTTTCTTTTTCTTTAGTGAGATCAGCAACTTCAGAGAAAAGTAAGCTTAAGAATGTGAAACTATGAAACGTGCCCATCCTGGCAGACTCTTCTGTTGGCACCTGGTCACTGAGTCCGTGCTACTTTGGGTTCTGCTTTTTTCACTGCAAAGCATGTCCCACCTACCGAGCGAGTTCACACCCTGGTTACTTGCGATCTCCCTGTGAGTCCTCCGTGTGCTGCTGTCTCCCATTGAGCGTAACGGTTTTCTGTTGTCAGGACCTAGTTGTTTCTAGTTTTTGCTGTTACATTTACTATAAACATCTTTGCAGTCTCCCGCCCTCCACATTTCCAGTAGTGAAATTACTTGGCGAAAGAGTACACATAATTTTTTTGTTCGTTACACACTGCTGAGGTGCTGGGCAAGGTTTTTCTTTGTTAGTTCACTGGGGTTGTTTTTTTTTTTTAAAGGAGAGTTGGCTGTACAGAGGAGCAGCTGTGCATGAACCGTCTTTCCTGAGAAAGGTACAGCGGCCTGGCGTCTTCACTGGAAGCCAGGCCACCTGTGCTTCCTCGTGTGGGGAAGTCCCTTCCCCATTGTGAACCTCAAGGTTCGTATCTATAAAACGAGGGATTTGGATTGACGGCATTCAGGTTATTTTCTACCAGAAGCCCGGCCAAATTTCTCCCGGTCTGCTCTGTATCACCCAGACTTAGTTCAGGGGGGGGGACCAAACTCTGCCTCCTTTCCCTTGTCTGCAGAGCCCCACCCAAGGGCCCCCATGCTAGTGTCATCAGAGGAGACGCAGCAGGGTCTAGGAGTGCAGAGCTCAGGCTGGGCTAACCAGCCTGCCACCTACTAGCTGTGTGACAAAATACCCTCCCAGTGGCTCAGTGCCACCACCTGTAAGTGAGGTTAACAACAGTTCCTTCTCACAGGGTTGCTATGAGTATTCAATGAGTTAATGTTTGCAAAACACTAAAAACAGTTGCCTGCACTAGTAAGTGCCATATGAAATATCTGTTGAATAAATAAAAGAAAATGTAGCACATAAACTCGGGGTCTCTTCATACTGCAACGGCCTCTTGACTGGTGCCCCCAGCCTCTTTGTTATTGTTTGCTAAAGCCCAGAACTCTGAGCCCCAAATCTCTCCCTTTAAAAGGCCTCATACAGGCCGGCACCCCCAGGATGGAGCAGATGCCTCAGCTTGAAGATCCAGGCTCTTCACACAGAGCTTTCTGGAAGTCTCCGCCACTTCCTTTTATTTAAGGATCTCAGTTAATTTAAAAACAGAACAAAGATAAAAACAGCAAAAAAGGCAAACAGAGTTACAAAAATTGAGAGGCATCTTTAATGTTATATTGAGCAAAGTAAAGCATTAATACTCCCCAACCACCATCCAGTAAACTATCACCATGCTGCTCACAATCGCCAAGGGTTCTCAAAGTTATTCTGGGCCGCACAAGTGCAACAGAATGCGGAGGAGGTAGGAGTGTATCAGGGGCACGCGCGCACACCGGAGAGGGTCAGCGTCTGGACGCTAGAGAGTGCGATCATATAAAGATGATGCCCTGAAAGCGTCTCTGTCACCGGGACACTCTCACTGGGATAACCTCGGCCGCAGAGACAGCTCCTCTCCATCCCCCTAACCAAGCTCCCTAACTCTACCAGACGGACCACCTCCCTCACCACCCCGCCCTCCGCGGAGCCGACTCCTGCCCTAGAGCCCCAGGGCCGCCCTCGAACTTGGGGCCGCCATCCCAGCAAGCTGGCTCAGCACCTACGCGAGTCTACCGGAACCGTTATCCCGCCCGCAGCGCCTGGGAGAGAAAGGCTGCGAGTCGGGAAGTGGGATCCAGAGTCGACCCCAAAATCGAACCCACGAGGGGGCGCGCGTCTGCGCCAGCCAATGGCCTGCTACCGCCCGCCCTTACAGCAAGGCGGGGGCTCCCTGCGCACGGCGTCTTGACCAATAGGAGCGCGCGCAGAGGGGCACGGAGCTCCCGGCCGCGGGTGCGGAAAACCGCGCGCGCCGGTGGCTGGCTCCGGGCGCGCGCCAACAGGCCGCCTCTCCGAGCACGCGAGGCCGGCGCGCGCTATCCGCGGGCCCCGAGCCCGCGCCTGGTCGCTCCTACCCAGCCGGCGTATCACATCGCCAGGCCCCGATGGCCCCCGAGACCCCGGCCCAGGCGCAGACCCTGCGCTACTTCACCTGGGACGAGGTGGCGCAGCGCTCCGGGCGCGAAAAGGAGCGGTGGCTGGTGATCGAACGGAAGGTGTATAACATAAGCGAGTTCACCCGCCGGCACCCCGGAGGCTCCCGGGTTATCAGCCATTACGCTGGGCAGGATGCTACGGTGAGCCCTGCCGGACTGGGACACGGGAGGAGGCGGGCCCGTGGCTCATTGCGCGAGACAGGAAGTTTGGCGTCCGCAGCCAAATACCAACGAATGGGGGAAAGTTAGAGGCGCCTGAGCATACCTGTTGCCCAGCCATTGAGTGTGCTGTGGCCAGGGATACACAGGCCGGAGCGGCTATGAAAACGAGTCTGGGGAGTGGGGAATGGAAGTCGGCGACGCACACACACAAACAAAGGGCCGCGCGGCCCTGCATGCGTTCCGTCTGCGGCCGCGAGTCTGCAGTCTTCAGGCGTGGGCCGGCCCTGAGCGGGGCTAGGAAGTAGAAAAGCGAGGATGCAGGGCGCCGGCATGGCACTGCTGCCGCGGCCGAGGGAGGCAGGGTTTGCCGAGGGTACTTGGGAGGGGAGCGCAGCCGCTTCTGGACTGAGCGTTCTAGGCTACACTCGCGAGCAGGAGCAGGAGAGGGAACCACTCTTGGGATACGGGAGGAGGTGGGAAACCACCGGTGCCCACTGTCTTGGGAATCCCTGCCTAGGGTGAAGGCGGGAGGGTGGGGAAGGGGCCACACCGGCTGGAGAGGACTAGCGCGGCTGTTCTTTCACTGGGGGTAATGGGAGTGTCGTGCTGAAGGTCGTGGGGGGAGCTGCATTAACATACACTTGGGGAGGACCCCCGGAAAGGTCCTCGAATCCTGCGGAGTGATCACTCAGCCGCAGGCCAGCGGGGTCTCCAGCTATTCGCTGCAGCGGACAGCTTTTTTGCATTCCCGGGAGGTAGTCCCGGTGCAGGGTCCTAACCCTCCTTTCTCCCGCTGCCCCAAGGAATCTGCGCGCACCCCAGCCCAGGTCCTCCTGCTTCCCTTTCTGGACCATCTGGCTCTCTGAGCTAAGGCACCTGGCGCCTACCTGCTGGGTTGGAGAGCTGGGGATCCCCCCTGGGACCCAAAGATGGGAGCGTTCGCTTGGCCCGGCCCCCTTCCCCTACGTCCTTCTCCCACCCCGCGCCCAGCGGCTTGACCTCTTCTGCTGGTCCCACCCTCCGCCCTTGCCATCCCGGAGCGCGCCTGGGCCCATCAAGGTTCCCGTTATGCGGAGCACAGGTGCTTCAAAGTGAGGGCCCTTCCTTCCTATGCGGTGGACCTAGGGGACGAGGCCAGAGCCGGCGCTTGTCACCCGGGGTGACCACTGGGGGAGCCCAGACCCTGGCCCAAGGCCAAGGCATGGACCCGCGCATGCGCCAAAGAAATAGGCATTAAAGCCAGGGCTTTCCACAGTGGATTTCGGGCGAGGGCCATCCTGGGGCGGGGACCGCGATTGGTCCGGCTGAGTGGCGCCACCAGCCGCCGGCTCCGCCCCGGTTCCCGCCTTTCCTGTGGATTCCCCACAGGGCCTGGGGCCTCCTAACCTGAGGGTGTGGATCTTACCACCTAGGACCCCATCTCGAATAACCAAACTTAGCAGCCCGGTGGCAGGGTGCGGTCAAAAGTGCCAGGGGAAATATGGGAAGCCCACCCAGCGCAGCACCCTAAGAGAAGGAGAAAGTTCCTGGGTTCTGATGTGGGAGTCTCATCAGGTAGTACTGAGAGTGCTGGCACAGAGGGACTTAAGTCCCACAGAAGAAGACAAGAGAAGTCTCATAGCCCCATCCATCCCTTCTGTTACTCACAGGATTACCTACATTCCTGTGTAACAGCTGCCCCTAGAACCCCCCCAGGGGAAAGGCTGGGACAGGCCTTTCTGTGGCCCCCCTGCCTGTTGCTTCCTATTGGCTGGTGTGGTTCCCTTCTTACTAGACTGCAGATGGTGGGTGATCCTGACCTGTGGGCCCCTAGAAAAGGTATGAGCCCCCTTAAAGGGCCGCTGGCTGGAGGGAGGTGGTGTCTGTTTGAGCTTTGGTGCAGCCTCCTTGCCGGATCAGGAAGGTGGCCTTTGGTGGGAGCTCTCCAAGAGCACAGCGGGTCTGGGCCGGCTCCCTCACGACTTTGCCTTCTCCCCGCCCTCACAGGACCCCTTCATGGCGTTCCACATCAACAAGGACCTCGTGAGGAAGTACATGAACTCTCTCCTGATTGGAGAACTGTCTCCGGAGCAGCCCAGCTTCGAGCCCACCAAGAATGTGAGACCCTGTGTGCTGTTCAGAGACCCCGTGGTTGCTGAGGGGCAGGGCGTAGAGGGAGGGCCTAGACGGGGTCATAGATGACTATAGTCTGTAGTTCTTGGGAGTCTCGAGGTCCCCGATCCTTCTGCACAGTCCTCACAAGGCCACCACGATGACCATCATCATCAAACGGGAGACCTGTCTGGAGCTCTTACTCGGTGCCAGGCATACCCTCATTAACCCTCAAGCACGTACAGCTGAGAATACTGCGGCTCAGAGACGCTAAGCCATGTGGCCAGGGATCGTAACTGTTGTTAAAGGGCAGAGCAGGGACTCCAGTCGAGGGTGACTTCCAAAGTTCACGTGCTCTTAGGCGAGATCCCCCAGCACCTCCTCCCGTCACCCTCAGTCTCGTGGTGTTTGCGCCTCGCAGTGGACTTCCCACTGCTGCCTCCGTGGGCGTCCTCACGCCCTCGTCACCAGCCGTGCGGCCTGGAGACACAACAGCTTCCCCCTGTCCTCTCTCTTTCAGAAAGAGCTGACCAATGAGTTCCGGGAGCTGCGGGCCACGGTGGAGAGGATGGGGCTCATGAAGGCCAACCACGGGTTCTTCCTGCTGTACCTGCTGCACATCCTGCTGCTGGACGTGGCCGCCTGGCTCACTCTCTGGGTCTTCGGAACGTCCTTCGTGCCCTTCGTCCTGTGCGCGGTGCTGCTCAGCACAGTTCAGGTGCGAGCACAGCTGTGCTCAGCGTCCCTAGGGAGAGCTCTCTGTACCCCTCAGGAGGCCAAGGCGCCCTCTCCAACGGGCAGAGCCGAGGACCTGCGGGCGGGGGGCAGGGTCGGGGCAGAAAGAGAACACACGTTCCGTCGTCCGTGGCGTTCGCCGCTGGCGCACCTTCCTCTCTCTCGCTGCCTCTCCAGCTGCTCCTCCTAGGGTTCCCTCCGTCCTGTTCAGGCTCTGCCATCGCCCAAGCGTGCCAAGAGCCATCAGCAAAGCTGGGCTTCCTCCCCGCCACGAGACTGCCCAACGTGCTCATGATGCTTGGGCTCTAGTGCGTGGCTGTCTGAGTCCATCTGCCAAGCGTCCAAGTTTGTCACTTTCTGTCCGTCTCTGTATTTTGGATGTTCAGGCCGTCGTCAGTCACAGGTGTCCAGAACCAGGGACACTAATGCACGGGGAAGGGAAGGTGCTTTCACCCAACTCCCTCACGAGCCAGTGGGTTGCTCTCAGCTCTAACCTTCCTCCCTCCAGGCCCAGGCCGGCTGGCTGCAGCATGACTTCGGGCACCTGTCTGTCTTCAGCACCTCTGCATGGAACCACCTGCTGCATCATTTCGTGATCGGTCACCTGAAGGTCAGTGGGGATGGGCAAGGCTAATAATGAGGGAAGGCTTGGGGAGAAGGGGAGCACTGGACTTTCATGCTCATGTCTTGGCTTTTCCGTAGGGGGCCCCTGCCAGCTGGTGGAACCACATGCACTTCCAGCACCACGCCAAGCCCAACTGCTTCCGCAAAGACCCGGACATCAACATGCACCCCTTCTTCTTTGCCCTGGGGAAGATCCTCTCCGTGGAGGTGAGCAGAGATGTTGGTGCAGCGGTCTCGGAGGACGCCACCGTGCTGGCACAGAGGGCCGTGGCAGGAAGGCTCGCAGTGCTGTCCATGGGGGGTGACCCTGGGGGGTGGCTGCCCAGCGGTTTGGAAGCCGTGGGGGGCAACGGGCCGTAAACCGGCTGCGAACAGAACCACGCGTCCTCCCCCGGCGCGTTCGAATCGGGGAAGGAGTTATTGTACAAAGGCATCGCGGGCTGCTGGGGATCCAAAACACAGCGTAGCTGGGAGGTCGCTGTGCAAACGCCTGCTCCTCCCTGAAGGTGACGGATGGCCCTCCTCAGCTGCTTTGGTGACGCTCTTACCCCCTCCGTCTTCCGCTCTCGGACACTTCGATACGCTGCTGTGTCACAGTCTTCCCATCAAGGGCTCGACTCTCTTACCCTTGTTGACACCCGGTGCTTAGAACAGTCATTCACCAAATAGTTCTTCCCACCTGGCTGGTCCCAGTCTCCTTCCGGGCAGTGGGAGGGGGGCGGGTCAGTGTTGGGTTGGAGTTCTTATCTGGGGTTGTAAGGCAGCTGCCTCACAGCTGCGGGGGGTGGGGGGGGTGGGGGGGGTCAGTGTCGGGTTGGAGTTCTTACCTGGGGTTGTAAGGCAGCTGCCTCACAGCTGCGGCAGGTGCCTCACAGCTGCGGCCGCTGCAAGAGGAATGCCCGAGGGGGGAGATCTGGGGGGCGGGGGGTCAGTGTCGGGTTGGAGTTCTTATCTGGGGTTGTAAGGCAGCTGCATTACAGCTGCTGTCGCCGCAGGAGGAATGCCCGAGGTGGGAGATCTGGGGAGCTTTCGGTGGGTGAGCTCCATACAACAGCGGGCTTTGCGTGGCCGGCAGGGTTCTCTGAAAAGTGAATGTAAAACCCTTTGTCCCGAGGCTCCAGGCTGCAGTCCGAGTTCTGCCAGGTCCCCTTTCTCCGCTTTATGACATTTCAGCCTGCCAAGAATTAAACTGCCGTTAAGTGCGGCTCAGTTCCAGGCATGAGTTCAAGGTGGCCTGGCTTTCCTCTCCCCTCTGGCCGTGAGGAGGACTCTGTGGAAAGGCTTTGGCAGCACTGGCTGTCCTGGAACCAGGAGCCCCCTAGGTTGACGCTGTGTCCCACCTATCTGTAGCGTCCTAATGTTCCTCCCGCAGAGGGACTTCCGCCCTGTAGTCAACGGCGGGGTCAACAGTGGGGATAGCGAACCAGCCCCGGCTCCTCTGGGCTCAGATGGCTGCTTTGAGGGTAGTATGGGTTATTTTTTTTTTTAAAGATTTTATTTATTTTTAGAGAGAGGGGGAAAGGAGGGAAAAAGAGAGGGAGAGAAACATCAATGTGTGGTTGCCTCTCGTGCGCCCCCACGCATACTGGGGACCTGGCCCTCAACCCAGGCATGTGCCCTGACCGGGAATCGAACCCGTGACCCTTTGGCTCACAGGCCAGCATTCGATCCACTGAGCCACGCCAGCCAGGGCCATGTTTACAGATGTATCACCGGCTTACAAATTCCAGGTTACACATTCCACGTGTAGGGACTTTGTACTGTCCACCTCTGCATCCTCAGCACCTGGAATAGTGCCTGGCACATAGTAAGTGCTCAGTAAATACGTGTTGACTAACTCAGTTAACAGAGGAAAAAATGCTTCGTTTAGCAGAAGTGCCTTGCACAGAATAAACTCTTCATGAATGAACGGCCTGTTGAAGCAGCGGGTAGACACACGAAAGAAGAAGGAGCAGGCATTTCGCTCCGGGTGGAGCTCCTCTTTGCCCTGTGGTCGTCTGGTTGCCAGAACTACGCGGGGCAAGAGGAGCAGCAGCAGCCACGCAGTCAGACCACAGGGCACTGCTGTTGCGTGTCTGCGTGCCCGAGTGCCTGTGCTGGGGCTGCCCGCGGGCGGTGGGCCCGGTAGCCCTGCCTGTTCACCAGCTAGGCTTACAGCATAACCGCCACCTGCTGGGAAGAACCTCGCCGTCTTCAAACTGCCAAACTTGGCTTAACGTTCAAGGGGTTTCATAAAGCTCCTGCTGAAGTCAAGAGACCAAAAATATTCCGATGGGGATTATCAGGGGCTGGCGAAGAGGGAATGCTGACGTGTGCAGGAGAGAAGGTGGTTTTCCGCGGAGACTCTGGTGTCAGAAAAGCACCAGATGGGAGAGAGGAAGGGGAGAAGGTGGAGGGGCCGGGAAACCGTATTGACGAAGGCGTCTTCTGATAAATGTGAGGGGTCCTGAGGACGTGACTCTGTTGTGTCCGACTGGACTGCCTGCCATGGCGTGGCCGGCACATGCAGCGGGTCAAAGCCCAGGGCCTCCTCATGGGCCGGGGGCTGGAGGTAAGACTGGACCGGCTGGCGCCTTCCGACACCCCCAGAAGCTGGCGGCCCCCGGAGCGGGCCCGGACTCCCGCGCAGAGAACAGCCAGGGTCCAAGGGGCCGGGCAGTGGGTGACGGGGGTATGGGGGGCTGATCTGCGTTTGCTTTTCTTCACAGCTCGGGAAGCAGAAGAAAAAGTACATGCCGTACAACCACCAGCACAAGTACTTCTTCCTGAGTGAGTGTCCCCGTCCAGGACAGGGAGACTCCCTGGGGAGGGGTCCTGAGGGGACGCGAGGAGGAAGTGACTCTCCAAGGGATGACCGCCTTTCAGGTAAAGGCTGGAGGAAGTCCCCCAGCCCAAAAGGTTACCCCGTGCTCGGGGGCGATCCACCATCTCAGCTAAGCCAAGTCAACAGCTCGGTTAATGTTTAGTCAAAGGCCGTTGGTGCTGGGGGCAGACTGGTTCCTCCAGTGCCACCCCGGCTTCCACAGGAGAGCCGGTGGTCAGGCGGAGCCTCCCTCACCTTGAACCTTGTTCAACAGAGACCTGGGTCAGGGTGACCCGGCGGGGTGCAGTCTGCCCCCCGCCCCCAAGGACTTGTAGATGTGGCGATGGAGGCTTGGACCCGAAGAGGGGTTCGAGGAGCTGTGGGAGAAAGGAGAAAACACTTCTGTAGTTGTCCTGAGCTCTTTCTGAAGACTGCTCTCCGTTCCCTCCTTTAAAAACCTGCTCTACCGTGTTTAAACTTTGAGTCTTAAAACTTTAAAAGTTCAAGTTTTTAAAGGAAGGGAGAGGGTGATTCCGTTGGGTTTATCCTCACTGCCTGTTAGCAGCCGTCCTGGGGGAGACAAGGGGATGAGGCAGAGGGTGGGGCAGACGTGTCCGGGAGGAAGAGTGCTGGAATGCAGGGCGCCCGAGGGCAGAGGAGCCCTGGGTGGACACGGCAGCGTGGGGGCTACGCAGAGAAGACACACAGAGAAGGAAATGGGGCGGCACGCTGGTGGGATCCGCTTCTTCAGCTCCCAGTGTCGACAGAAGCCCTTCTGCCCCTTCCCACAGCCAAACTCGGGGTCTTCGGGGCGGGTGGCACAAACTCGTTTCCCACCTGTGAAGGATCAGCAGGGTGGGAAACGAGTTTGGACGCGTGCAGGGTACACGCGTCCTGTCCCCTGATGTGCGTGCACACGCACACAGGTGCACACACACACTTTCCGGCTCCTGCCCCCTCCGCTGCGTGGTGAGGCAGCCAGGAGCACAGGGCGGACGGCTGCAAGGAGAGGCGTAGGGTCAGGAGGCAGACCCCTGGCCGGGGCAGGGCTGTGGCCAGGACAACTCGGGGAGCATTAGCCAATGCCCCTCTAAAGGCAGGGGAGCGGAGCAAGTCCCACGTGTGGGGCTTGGATGTCCCCAGCTGCCGTCCTCCACGAGAAAAGATTGCCACCCCTCCCCTCGCTGTCCTGGCATCCCCTTGGGAGACTCCACCGTCTTCAGACGTGCATGTATGCCCACCTTCAGTGCCCGCTGGCTCCAGTGGGTGTTCCAACGAGGGGCAGCTGCAGGGGCACCAGGAGGAGAGGGCAGAGACGCTAGAGGCTGTCCGGCCAGCATCCGGCCAGCCCTTCAGTGACCCTTGACCCTCGCTGCTCACGCCTCCCCCCTGTCTCCATTGCCTCCCCAGTTGGGCCCCCCGCCTTGCTGCCTCTCTACTTCCAGTGGTATATCTTCTATTTCGTTGTCCAGCGGAAGAAGTGGGTGGTGAGTACCCGTGGCCCAGCGGTCGCACGCCCTTTGTCCCCAGTGTCCTGAGGGAGGGGAAGGGGGTCTCCGGGGGAAATCCACTGAGGTTTGCTCCAGGCCCACTTTAGAGCAAACAGAGCCAGACCGAGACCTTCCTTCTAGGTGGGATGATCTGGGCTCCGCGGGCAACCTGACTCCCAGTGTCCTAGTTCGCGCGGCAGTATCTCCTGAGGCTCTTGTGCTGGGAGTAACGCCGGGGCGGGCTGGGGAGTGGGGGGGAAGGAGTAGGAGACGTGCCTGCTCTCAGGAAGCTTCTGATGAAGCAGAACGTGGTCGGCACCAGTCGAAGAGGTACAGGCAGGCGGGACATGACCGCCTCGGCTGGGTGGAAGGCCTCAGAAAAGGCTTTGCTAAGTCCCTTTTCTAACTGGCTGTGGAGGACAGACGGAGGTAGGGCGGAGGGTCAGTGGACCCTGAGCAGAGAAGCTGGGAGGGGAGGGGTGAGTTTCCACCGGACCTTCTGTGGAGGACTCGAGCGTCAGAGCGCGGATCCGGTGCAGAGAAGCGACTGGAGGTTTGATCAGGGTGCTGGCATGGACTGCGCCGCGGTCCTGGAAGGTGCACTTGGCATCGTGAGGAAGAGATGAAGGGCTTAGCTGGGCTGGGAGGAGCTGGAGGCGGGGAGGCTCTGGAGGCCGTGGCACCCGAGAGGGAAACGGGCACGGGGGGCCCGGGCTGCCTCCCGGGACGGAAGGGAGGAGCAGGAGCACTAGGCGCTGCGGGACGGGACTACGGAGAGGGGTGCTGACGGTGTGACTCAGCGTCCCAGTCTGGGTCCCCGGGAGAACAGCCCCCCCACGCAGAGACAGGGGAAGGGAGGGCTGAATCCGCGCCGGACGTGACGCTCGCTGCCTCTCTCTGCAGGACCTGGCCTGGATGATCACCTTCTACGTCCGCATCTTCCTCACCTACGTGCCGCTGTTAGGAGTGAAAGGCTTCCTGGGCCTCTTCTTCATGGTCAGGTGGTACCAGATGGGGAGCAGCAGGGTGTGGCAAAGAAACGAGGTCCGGTCTGGGGGCTGCGCTGCGGCTTTGAGGGGGCGCGGGGGTGTTTGTTTCGGGTCTCGGCTCAGGAAGGGGGCCAGGCCGGCGCAGTTGTCTGAGGGAGAGGGAGAACTCGGGGCGCTGCCTGTCCTGTTTCCATTCGTGTGCTCCGCCCACCAGGTTCCTGGAAAGCAACTGGTTTGTGTGGGTGACGCAGATGAACCATATTCCCATGCACATCGATCGTGACCAGAACAGGGACTGGGTCTCCACCCAGGTGAGGGATGGTCTCTTGGAAGACCTGGGCATGACACAGCTGAGAAAGGGGGCGGGTGGGCAGAGACGCCGGGCAGGGGGTTCTGGGGGAGCAGCGATAACAGAAGTTCCCAGCAGCACTGCCTCATTAACTGGAAGCTTCTCCTGCTGCCCTGTGGCGAAGGGGGTGACCAGGGACAGCCCCACAGCCCCTCCCCTCAGACAGCTTTACCCAGAGGGGGCTGGACTGGCCTGTGCGTCTGGTGTTCAGAGCCACGCTCTCCCCCTCCCCTTCTCCTCCAGCTGCAGGCGACGTGCAACGTCCACAAGTCTGCCTTCAACGACTGGTTCAGCGGACATCTCAACTTCCAGATTGAGCACCAGTAAGAAGGGAGAGCTGGGAGGCAGGCTCTGGGAGGGGTCCAGGTGGGCGGGGCGGGGCGGAGCAGGAGAGGAGGGGCCGCTGACCGCTCCCTGTTCCGCCTGAAGTCTTTTCCCCACGATGCCTCGCCACAACTACCACAAAGTGGCTCCCCTGGTGCGGTCCCTGTGTGCCAAGCACGGCATCGAGTACCAGTCCAAGCCCCTGCTCTCGGCCTTCGCCGACATAGTTCAGTGAGTATCTGGACCCGGGAAGACGGCCGGTAGGGCAGGAAGGGGACAGGGCCATGGGGCTGGCGCCGTGGGAGGTTTCCGCGGCAGAATGGAAGTCTGGAGGTCACCGGTGCAAAAGCAGCGCACTCGTGGTCTTAGGGCCTGGTCGGTCCTTTGCTCCCAGTGCCGTGGCCCCAGCTCTTTCTCAAAGGGGAGGAAAGGGTTCACATGGAAGGGGGCCTTCCCTCGTGCAGATGGGCTTCCAGACCTCTGCAGAGCTTCCCCACTGCACTCCTGGGGGGTGGTTTGGCTTTGGGGCTCGGCGGTGCCCTTCCTCACTGCCGGTTCCCATCTTACCTCTGCAGCTCCCTGAAGGAGTCCGGGCAACTCTGGCTCGATGCCTACCTTCACCAATAACAGCAGCCCCCGCCTGGAAGAGGAGCCCCCGGACCAGGCAGAGGGGAACCTGAGGGACAATGCCACTACAATCCTACTATCCAGAGCGGGGTGGTTTGAGATAAAGGCTCTGGCCCAGACTCCTCCCCTTTATCTCCAGCAGGTCTACCACGCAGAGAGGGAGGGGACACGCACGTTCCCTGGAAAAGGGATGGAGCTGTTAGGGGAGGGGTGTGAGTTTTGTTTCTCTTTTTTGTGTGTGTGTCAGATGCAGGTGGTTGGTGAGCAGAGAGAGCGTCAGGAAGGTGTTAGAATAATAAGGAGACCAGCTGGGCCCAGAAATCAAGAGATTTAGCAGTAAAATTCCACCCACCCAGTGTCTGGGAGCTCAGCTCACTTTAGGGCTCTGACCAGTTTCCCTCAGGCTACTGGAGAAGCAAGCTCTCCCTTTTTAGAAGTGGGCAGGGCAGAGGCCAGGACTGTGGTGTTGAAGACACCTGCCCCCCCTCCCCCACCACCGCAACCCCCAAGGATACTGCCACTACTGATTCTGGTTCCGTGTTCCGTCCAAAGTACCGAGGGAGCATTAGGTCCTGGGTCTTGCCAAAACAGCCAGCAGGGTGTTCCTGGCCATCAAAACTCCCCTCAGCTTTTGATCCACCTCTCCTAACCAGCATGCAAGCGGCAAAAACTCCTAGGACAGGAGGGAGTCCGCTTCTTGCTCTGGAAACAAATGAGCAGATAGGCAACTTAGTTTTCGCCTCCTCAATGGGTTCTCTGAGCTTCCCTGCCTCTAACTCCCAAGTTCCACGCAGCCGCAGTCCGTGAGCGCAGTGGCCAAGCTGTGGAAGACACTGAGTCACCAGGCACAAGGGAGACGCAGGTTTGCTCACGAGGGACGTAAGGGCTGTGATGAGTTTTCTTAACATGAATTATGTACAGCATTACTGTAGGGCAGGAGCCGTGGAGTCGAATGTGAACCAGTTCATGGTTCTAAGCCAGAAACGGGGAGACACAGACACAGAAGCTTGTGATCATCCACGGCTGTCTTAGGCACTTACTCTGTCAGCTCTGTTCAGGTATCTTTCTCTGCTGGAAACCAGGTAGGAATTTAGGATAATCCCTTACCAGTGTCATGCTGAAATGCAATTTTTAAAAGATCTTGTTTTTAAAAGATAGAAACAGTGTGACCCATCCCCAGAGAACTAACACCAGATCATGCCCCAGGAGTCCCCCCTTAACTCCAGGGCTTGCCATCAGCACTCACCCCCTCTGCGACCTGCCCCCCCCAGCCCCCCACCTTGGCCATTCAGTGCAGCGGAGGGTTGTTCGCCTGCTCAGTGACATCCACCACAGGCACATCAGGCATGTGGGACACTGCGGGGAGGGGGCCTCAAACTGGAAGGACACAGAGAGCCATGGAAAAGTTGTGTTCAGTCCTGGGAGAGAGGCCACCAGGGCGATCAAGGGCCCTGGGGTGTGTTGGGATGGGACTCAAGGCACCGCCTATGGAATGATTACGCAGAGGTTTGTCAGAACATCAACAGAACAAATAGATGGGGGAGGGGAGAACAGGTTGCAGAGGAGTTCAGATGGTTTTCATTTCAGCAGCACCTCGTTTAAATCAGAAGAATTGAAGAGTTCTCTCACTGGCTCCCGCACTACAGAACAGGTGCTGATCCTTCCCCACCCCTCCATTCCCTGCTACCTAAGGTCTGGGTGTGGTATCACGAGCCTGCCCAGCTCCCTGGCTCTGGGCCAGGCAGAGCAAACCCAGTGGGACTACTAGGCCGGGTTCAGATCCTCAGAGCACCTCTACCACGTGGCCTTCTTTCCTGGGCCTAGACCAGGGTGGTCGCACATGGCCAAAAAGCGACACACCAGTGGCAAAAGGCTCAGACTGCACAAGTGATACCAAATCCAATGACCAGAAAGCAGGCTTAGGACAAGTCACAGATCACAGCAAAACTAGTATTTGAATTCACTTTTGAAAAAACTCTAACTTCCGTGTTTATTATCCTTGTTTTGTCTTACCACTTGGCCAGAGACATTTTCTTAAGCCCAATATCATTGTCTTTTTGGTACGTGCCAATTTTGTTAACAGATTTTGATGAAGTACAGCTGAAAAATAAAGCTAATTATGACCCGATGCAGGCCACTCGCTTGTCTTCCACAGTATTGCTCTGTGCATGTCAACGGGACTCCCCGTTCCTGTGCCGTGACTGCCCACCTCCACAGCTCTGGCTCCTCTGGACACGAGTCCCCACACAGCCTCCCTCAGGATAAGCCCCTTCCTCAGGCAGAGGGAGGTGCATCAGGGCCTCCAGAGAACACCAGGACACAGGTGGACTGTGCCAAGGACAAGAAAGGCCAACCCCTCTCCATGCCACCCATATTCAAGTGCTAGATCCGCCTGCCAGGTTTGATGTGCATTCCCTCCCATCAGGAGGCAATGGCCTCAGCCTTGAACTCATTTCTAGTCTCAGTATGGCTAGTCCCTGTGAGCAGTCCTTTTCGCCTAAATCTGTCTCTGCAGGCACAATGCCCACTACACTAACTACATCCTACGAGAATAGCAATCTTTGGGCAAGACTATTAGAACATGGTATTAGAACATGGCTTAAAAATTTGCGACAGAATAGATTTTCCCTGTAGTGTGTCGTGGCTAATAAACACGCGGGAAAAGCTAGGCAACTCCGCTTCAAAAAGCAAGAGGAAAGCAAACCACTTGACGTGTGTGTCCACCACAGGGTACAAGCCCTTAACTAGAGCTCTTGCTCTGAGGCAGTAATTCCCATGGAGTGGGGGAGAAAAACTTGACCCTCGAGGTTGTCCTGGCTGGGCTAATCAAACAGATGTGAGATTAGCAAGAGAAAAAAGCCCAACTTAACAAGAACGCAGGAGAACTCCGCGTACAGGAGAGACTCCACATGCACTGGAGGTTCGGAGATGAAAAGGGAACGTGGGTATACAAGCCACTCTGACTAGGAATTGGGTAAGGTGCCCTGGGGTTCAAAGGGCCACTGCAGAGGAGCAGGAGGAAGTAAGAAGTCTGGCCGGTTCTGCAGAGAGGTTACATGCAGTCATCTCAGATAACCTCTTACCACCTCCGGGACCATCACCACTACCACAGGCTTAGAATCAAATTATATGAATCAGAAAACGGAGCTCAAATTTAAGGGTGTGGGTTGGCTTGATCTGGGGAAAACTGGCTTTATTCATCAACTGGGAATGGCAATGAACAAAACCAACTCCTGCCCTCAGGACAGAACTTTCTGTCCACACCATGGTTTCCAGAGTCCCCTAGTCACAGCTCTCCTATATCCATACTTCAACCAGAGGAGCTCTTGTGTCCTGAGATTCCACATAAGATTTTTCATTTGAAAAGTAGGTTGCTCCATTAAAAACTGTGAAAACCACTTATCTTTTTGTCTTCTACCGGCTTACTCAGTCAAAACATCAACTTCAATTTCAGACCACTTAATGCCCTTGTTAACACTTTCAAATGTCAAACACTTTCTTGCAGTGATAGGAATGCTAATTAGAAACTCAGACAGGGCAGCTCCCCACCAGGTTTTATCAAGATTTTGCAAAGTACAAAAACGTCCCATCTCTATGAGAAATAACCACCTAAATGTGACGTCAAAAAAAAAGAACAGGTGAGTTCTGAACGGCAGCTTTCACAATTTACAAACTGGCAAATGCGTGGGTGCTGTATAGTAGTTGGTCTAAACTGTGAGGTTTCCTCACAGGAGTTCCTTTATTTCACACAGGTGCAAAGAGCTGGGAATTCCATTCCTTAGCAAGGTAAACTCGCTTGCCTCCTCCAAAGGGCTGAAGCGCCACCTGCGTGGCTTAGGCCATTCCGTGGGGCATGGCGCCACCTCGTGGCCACACTCAAACCACCAGTTCAAAGGGTACAATCCCAGCATGTTCTTTTAGAATGAAAATACTCCATTCTGCCCGCTTTTATAATTTTATTGGCTCTTCTTACACGTTTAAAACAAAAACAGCACACGGACAACAGCATCAAATCCCAACTCAGGTGATTGCCTCAGAGAGGCCATGAGAACTAAGCCACCTTATACCTCTGAATAACTAAAGATTCAAGTTACATAGCAAGTTCAAGTTTCTGCCCACCCCAGGACACACAGCCGGTTATCAGACCCGTCTCCCACCCCGGGGACTCCAGCTCTCCATCTGCCTCGCTTCTCAGCAGCTCTTCCCGTGGACGAAAGACGGCCTCTCCCCGCGGGCCCCCCTGCAGGGCGGGTGGAGGCTGCACCAGGGCGAGGGGCGCCGTGAGGTCCCAGCGCCGCTGGCCAACGGTCCACCAGCCGGGAGACCGCCCCACAGTCTTCTGTCTTCGCCATTTACCTTCCTCTCCCGCCCTCAGACGTATTGCTATCACTCTTATGTAACAACGGACTCGGTGTCTATTAAATTGACCGAGATGTGGTTCGACCTGACGCACTTTCCTGAGCTAAAAAAGGAGGAAAGGAAGCACCTCTGCGGCCTTCCTGCAGTAAGTACATCAAGTAAAAGGGGGAAAAGCCCTACCGAGAACGGCCGTGCTGGAGAAGCAATGCGACCCCTCCCTGCCCCCGCGGGGGTTTCTCTAGTGCTAGCTCTCGAGGGTACAAGGTAGACAGACGGGGGTCAAGGAGGTACAACAAAGGGAAACATTTATTTCCCCCTTTTAAATTTCCCTGCTGCCCCAGCCTTCGCCTTCTTCTTCGCAGGCCCCTTGGGTTCTGGCTCCTTGCGCTTAGCCGAAGAGAGCGAGCCGGTCACCTTGAAGAAATCTTCCAGGCGGCCCTGGGTGCTGCCCTGGCGGCTCTTGCTCAGCCGCTTGACCCCGCTGCGAATCCGCTCCTCGGAGAACTGCTTTTCGCCACACATGAATCTGACCAGCTCCTCTTCCTTTGGCTCGCTCCACTTCAGCTCCACTGACTCCGGGTCCAGCACCTCGGGCTCTAGGAAGAGCTGCTGGGCCTCCTTGTGGAGCCAGTTTTCCGGCACGGGGTACTTGGCGGGATCGAGTCGGCGCACGATCTCCTCGATGCTCTTGTGCTTCTGGATGAGGTCCACAGCCCGCTTGGGCCCGATGCCCCGGATGCTCTCACAGTAGTCACTGCCCAGCAGGATGCACAGGTCCACAAACTGCTCCTGGTTCAGGCCCAGCTCCTGCAGAATCCGGCTCAGGTGAAATTCCTGGATGGGCAGCTTCTTGGCCTCGCTGGCAGTCAGGTGCCGCATCAGCACGGGGCTGCCGAAGGTCAGGCAATCCATGTCCTCCGTGGCTGCCGCGTAGACCTTGCCAGCCTTCACCAGGGCTGCACAGCTGGCCTCTGCCTCGCTGGGCGCATCAAGGTATGGGACGCCCATGAGGCTCAGCAGGCGCTTGCACTCATCGTTGTGTTGCTTGGTGACCTTCACCAGCCGCTTAGTATACTTCTCTACGTCCTCCTCGGCCCCGACGTCCTGAGCCTGCTGCAGCTGCTTCTCGGCCTCCGCCCGCCGCTCACTGCGTTTGGCCAGCTCGCCTGACTTGAGCTGGGGAGGCTTGCCGTCAAAGACGTACACGGGCTTGATGCCATTCTCTATCATGCGGATGGTGCGGTAGAACATGCCCATCAGGTGGCTGGTGGTCTCGCCCTCCTCGTTTTGCAGCACATCCCCACCGTGGCGAACGGCAATCAGGAACTGATAGATGCTCATGGAGGCGTCGATAGCCACCTTACGGCCGAAGTAGCTCTTGATGTCGTGCTCCCGGATGGCACTGGGGGCCACGTCAGCAATCAGTTTGGCCAGGCCTTGAATACCCATAGCGATACAGAGGAGGGACAGCTAAAAAAGGCAAGTGAGACAAGGAGGAATGTTAAGGATGCAAAAAAAGAAAAGTTATAATTGGTGCTATCTCACCAATGTCATGCCTTCAGCTAAACAACTTAGCACAATGAAAAGCACATCCAAAGTCAGCAGTGCAGAAGATGAAAAGGTGAACAAGACGAGGTTTCCGCTGCCAAGAAACTTCCAGGACAGCAAGGAACACCACTCATTAATACCAAGGCTTCCTGAGTGTAACTGAACTGGGTCCTGAGAGGAGTAAGACACTGTTGCTGTCCCTAAGGCGGCAACAGGGCTGGCAGGCAGTAAGGGCTACGTCTCCATCAAGGACAATGCAAGTCCAGCGTGCCTGTCCCAACCCGAGGAGCCCAGGATCACAAAGGCAAAACTGAGCCCCAGAGGGCAGGCAAATAAATACTCGTCAGACAAAGGTGAGATGTGACAGATAAACAAAGGAGCCACAGTCCACGACTGGATGTGTGAAGCAGTAAAATAAACACGGACACTCCCCTTCTAGCCAATACCTGAAAACCACATTCACCCCTCCCCAGCGCACCCTTCCGCCTCACTCCCCCGGGCGGTTGGGCTCCTCTTCTGTGCCAACTTGGCTTGGCCATGACACCCGGTTATTTACCTAAACACTAATCCAGGTGTGGCTGGGATGCGTTTTGTAGATGTGAGTAACATCTGTAATCAGTTGACCTTACGCAAAGGAGGCTGCTTTCCATGACAGGGGCGGGCCTCACACAAAAGATCTGAACAACCTTGACCGCAAAAGCAGGTTTCCTGAAGGAGGAAGTCTGCCTCAAGACTGTAGCACAGAAAACCAAAACCAAAACCAAACCAAACCAAAACAAAACTGAAAAACCTGTAGCGCCAACTCCTGCCGGAGATCCCGGCCTGCCAACCTGCCCTGTAATTTTCAAACCTGCCAGCTCCGACAATCACCCGAGCCAATTCCTTGAAGTAAGTCTCTTCGGATCAATAGCCGACATATCTGTGTGTTCTTTCTCGGAAGAGCCCTGGCTGGTGCAGCGGTCGTGACGCACAGGAGGGACACGGCCTTCTCACGCACGGCGCTCAGTTTCCCTCCTGCACCCCCTTGGCATTCCCGGGTTCCTACCTCCACCACGGTGTCGCCGGTGCCGAGTCCTTCCCCTGCACGTCCTCTCCACCGCAAAGCCTCAAGTGTGGAACCCTGGGCTGCTACCCCACCCCCAGGCCTGCTCTCATCCCTTGGGCCAGCCCTGCACTTCTGGGGTTCAGGCCCCCAGACAAGCGTTTCCTAGGGCAGTGTTCCCCAAACTTCAGCCAGGCCCAAACCACACTCACATGTTTCGCTACTGCCAGCAGAACCTGTACTTTTTTTATTCACTTGCGACTTCATGACATGCACACCACTGAAAAACCAAGACGGTGTGCCCTGGCCGGTGTGGCTCAGCTGGATGGAGCCCTGTCCTGTATCTGAAGGAACTCGGGTTCGATTCCCGGCCCCGGTGTGTGCGATCCCTGGTCTGGGTTCGCTCGGCAGGCAATGCCTCTCTCTCGCATTGATGCCTCTGTCCCTACCTCTCTCAACGTTGTCTCTCTCTAAAAAGCAATGGGAAAATGTCCTTGGGTGAGGATAAAAAAACAAAAACAAAATAAAAACTAAGATAACTTGAAAAAGAGAACTCATCTTAAGTGGTCTGTTGTATCAGCTATATTTTAATATGTGTTACATGTATAACTATTAAACAGGACTTTTTGTGTGTGTCACTCCAAGTCACCCTGTACCCACTGCGTGGTGCGTGCCCAACACTAGGAAACATTGTACCAGACCTTCTCTCTCGCTGTCCCCATTCTCCCTTCACAGGGTTCTTTTTAAATAACGCGAGATGATCCTGTTACTGCTCTTCTCCTAGTTAGGTTCAGTCATGGCATCAAGACCTTCAGTGCCCTGGTATCCAGCCACCTGCAGCCTGGGTGGGACCCAGTGCAAAGGGCCTGGCACAAGGCCCGCCTTTTCTCGCTTTTGCTCAGCTGTGCTCACCACCCGCCATCCTCCACCAGGCCCTTCTTCAAGGTCCACCTCCCATTCCTTCCTCAGTGAATGGCAATGGCCTTGACTCTAGGAGCCAGCATTCACCGTCTGTGTGGCATCACTAAGCCATGCACGTTTGCTTTTCCTCATCTATACAATAAGATGAACACCATGCCCATTTTGCAGAAGTACCGCCAGGGTCAGCTGAGATAATAGCCGAAAGGTTCCTGGCACGCACCAAGGTGCTCTGCAAACGTTCCCCCCTCCAGCACCCACGCAGATGCACGCCTCCAGCTGGCTGCTTTGCTGGAACGCGTGCTGGGAGGCCACCGCCTTGTACCCGGTTATCCTGCCGCAGCATCCAACAGCGGGCTCTCAACAAGTGAAGCTTGAAACTGTGTCTCATCAGGATCTTGGTCAAAATACACCACGATCCCGTGAGGTGGAGCTATTATCCCCTTTCTACAAACGAATAAAGAAGCTCGGAGGTGACGGGACTACCCCGAGTCCCGCAGCGGCAAAGTGGCGGCAGAGCGTTCGCGCCTCCTCCCCGCGCGGCAGCCGGCCCCCGACTCCCAGCGCAAAGCAGGCCCGGCCGCTCTCGGAGACGCTTCCCATGGGGTCTCACCTGGCCTTAGGGGTGCGGGGCCTCGGCAGCCAACGCTTGGTCCACCGTCGCCCAGAACAGTCCTCAGTCCAGCTCCCGCCTGAGATCGCCGGAGGGTCTTCTCTCGCTCCGCCGCCTTCCAAAGCCCGCGCTCCCGTCACGTGACGCGCTGCTGTGCACAGCCTCCTGGGAAGTGTAGTGCAGGCCCGCCCCCTCGGCCCGCTCCTCTCGAGGCACACAGTCCCAGCAAGGCGAACGCACTCTCTCGGCGAGCCTACAAGTCCCACAATGCCGCGTGCGCGGGTGCCACATCCTCTTCCGGCAGGACGGCGGGCAGGCTCCTGCCGACGTGTTTTTCCGGTGGCGGAGCAGCGGTTCACCCTGTCCCCGGCAACATGGTGAGATGGTGGAGGGGAGCTTGCAACAGGGTTGAGAGGACCCTTCAGGACCTGTCCCACACTCCCTTTCTCTCGCAGAGGCCTCGGGCGCCCGTGATCCAGACCGCGGGAGGCTCCAGTATCCTCCGACCTGGGCTGGGGGGCGGAGAAGGGAAGCCCCTTACCCTGGACACCTTAGGCTGTTTTTATCTCGCCAGTTTTAAGGGTGGGGGGCATGAGGTGCATTTTTTAGTGTCTTTTAGCTTTTATCTCTCTTACTTGTGATCAAGCTGTCCTCCCTGTCTCGACATTTCTTCCTCCTGCGGAACTGGTACTTATTCTACGGGGCCTTGGGCAAATGTCATCTTCCTGGTGAAGCATTTCTAACTCCCTCTGGCAGTTGGCCTCTTCCGGGAGCTCCCACAGCCTCTGGACAGACCGCTCTTTTGCCACGTGTCCCGGACTTCATTGTTACCTGCCACGCCTCCCAGTGACCACCATCTGACGTGCCCCTAGCCCTGAAATGATGTCTATTCATCTTTGTATTCCCAGTGCCAAACACAGGGCCTGCCATTGGAGGCTCAGTCAAGGACAGTGATTGTCTGTCGTGTGGGGGATGGGGGGTAAATGTTTACCGAATTGAATTCCAGTGTCTCTTAGAACAATGGGGTCGATTTACTTCTCTAGAGTTGTTGTGTTCGGGATTTTCGGAGCCTTGGCTGGTGGGTGACAATGGAAGTTAACATTTGTCCAGAACTGTATGTTTACAGCCCTCTGTCACGGGCATTACCTCACAATCTTCCCCAAACTTTGGGGAGGAAACAAACACCTATTGAGCGACTATTGCCAGGCAGTAGCCAGATGCTTTGACCTTCGTCATCTTTCTGAAATCATACATCAACCCCGTGAGATGTTATAACTCAACCAAGACCCACATTATTCACTAGAGCCAGAATCTGAACTGGTGCCGTTCGCCTGCAAGTTCTGAAATTCGGTAATAGTGTAGTGAGAATAACACAGAATTAGGAGTTGAGATCTAGGTGTGGGCCCATAAAGCTCCTAAAATTCTAGGCAGGCTTTTTCTTGGGCAGAAAGCACCCATGCCTTTCACTGCCTTTTTCTTCATAGTGGCCAGTAGCCTCAGAAAATATTAAGGGCCATTGATCTACAGCTAATGAGTCGCCTTTCGTGTTCCAGCCTCTGACTCTCAGCCGCCCTCCGTGTCTCATACTGAGAAGATGGAGCGCCACCTTTGTTTCAGATGTTAACTTGTGGCCGTTCCCAAACCGCATCACTTGATGTGGGCTCTGAAGGTCTTCCACATTGCCTAGGCTGAGATGGGCCTTAAAGTAGTCACAGCAGCATGAGGTTCCTTCATGACCCCTTCATCCACCGGGTCGACGTGTTGGGTGGGATTCTTTCACGGCTCTGATCTCATGCCTTCTCCTAGGAGCTGGAGGCCATGAGCAGATACACCAGCCCGGTGAACCCAGCTGTCTTCCCCCATCTGACCGTGGTGCTGTTGGCCATTGGCATGTTCTTCACCGCCTGGTTCTTCGTGTATCCTTCCGCCGAGCAGCGCGTGGGTCAGAGTTCCTGATGTGGGAGGCTGAGGCAGGAACTGTGCTGGACACACGCACCCTGCCCATTTGTCCTCATGTGGGATTGGAGGGAGGTAAAGAGGTTGAGGGAAGGCTGTCGATGTTCCAGGTCAGGTTGTGGCCTCATTTTTCCAGTTCAGGTGAGTGCAGTTTGCTGTTCCGATTTCTAGAACAGTGAGCTGAGGGCCTGGCCGGACTGGGGGCTGGGGGTAGATCTGAAGTTGAGAAAGTGGTTTCCGGAGGGAGGCTCTCTGGTGTCAGGAGATCTGAGGACTAGTCTAGCTCCACTATTCATTAGCTGTGTGACCTGGGGCAAGTGACCTAACCCCTCTGGGCCTCGTTTTCTTTCTGGGTGGTAGAGCGGTAGTATGGAGTAACAGAGTCTAGTTCATCTCTGGGGCCTCTCTGCCTGGCTGCACCAAGCCAGACAAACCTCCCAGAAAGCCCGTAGCCCGTATCTTTCTCCTGGAGTCACAGTGGTCATGCTTCCTGCTCTGTGTGGTCCACCCCTTTGCTTCTCCTTAACCGTCTTGCCAGTTACGAGGTCACCTCCACCAAGTACACGCGAGACATCTACAAAGAGCTCCTCATCTCCTTGGTGGCCTCGCTCTTCATGGGATTTGGGGTCCTCTTCCTGCTGCTCTGGGTCGGCATCTACGTGTGAGCTCCCATGGGTAAGAGCTGTGACGGGGTGGGACGCTGCAAAACCTCCCACACCTGTACCAGTGTGGTCCTCAGGCCTGTGCGACCCCTCGGTTACGGGAGACACTCAGCCAAGTGGATAGGGACACCAGACACATGTGCCTCCCTCCCTGTTCCTCATGGGGGTTTGAGCCAAGGGTGGCCTCCTTTGTCAGCTCTAAGTTCTGTGCGCTGCCCAGGGCCCTAGTCCGGCTCTGGGATGTACGACACGGGGCTGTGGACGCAGGCTTCTCGCGGTTACGCGTTTGGGTTCTCACATGTCGTACACTGGTCACTTGGAGAAGCTGCTGGGACGTGGGCCAGAAGCAGGTCAGGGACTGGCACTTAAGATTTGCTGCAGGGAGTACGATTTTGATTAGTTGGAATGTTTCCGGCCATTGAAGTAATCGTTGACCGAGCGATAAAAGAAGAACAAAAGACTGCGGCAGATATTGCATCCAACAGATCACGACAATGGGCTCGGGTGGCTCAGCGTCAAAGGAGCACGCCCGGCGGCCCTCGCCCCGGGACACCGGGGCTCAGTGAGAAAAGGGGGTGGGAAGGAGGACCTTGGTCTCATTCCGATACCCCTCTCCCCTTCCAGGTTCCGCCGGGCAGCCGCATCGAGTCCCCGCTTTTGTAAATTAATTTTTTTTACTGTTGCCGGAAGTGCCCCGCCTGCTGCTCACAATAAAGGCAGATGTGTGACCGTCCTGTCGGGTGCCCGGTCTCGGCTCTTCCTGCTTTCCTTCTGCCTTGCCGATGGTCCCTGCTGCGGGGATGCCTGCTCGGTACCTTTGAGGGCGACGGGGCTGTGGGAGGGGTGTCTTGTCCTTGTCATGGAAGGCCTACCACCTGTGGACAGGAAGGGCAGGCCTCCCCTCTTCTGTGTCTGGAGCAGACTTCTCTAGGACCCTGCATCAGTCAAGTCTTCCCTGGGCCAGGCCTCTGCTCCACGTGCAGCCACCCTTCTCCGGACTGGGAACCCCGGCAAGGTTCAGCTTGTCCTCGACAGAGGCTTTTCCCTGGGATGGCTACTTCTAACCCGGGTGGGGCAGCCGTGGGTCCCTGGGGTGTGGCTAGGGGAGGGGCTGCTGAGTCCTGTTCCCAAGCCCAGTATCAAACTAAGAAGGAGAATGGGGTATAAAACACCCATCTGGCTCAGGCACCCCCAATTCCAGGAGGTCCTCGCCCCACAGGCAACTCCATCTCCCACCAGAACAACCTCAGGAAGAGACGGGGAGGCAAGCTCAGATACAAAGCCGCATTTATACATTTATTTATATACGTGTATTTACTTCAGAAGAAAAGAACAGTTTGGGGGACAGGGAGCAGACAGGCCCAGGGCTGCTTCCCTCCGCCGGCTCCTGGGTCCGAGTTGGTGCACGGTGAACAGGAGCCGAGCTCAGGGACGGGGGCCGGGAGTTAGCGGGGAGGGAGGGCGCTCTATGCACACGCAGGCTCGTGCAGGAGGTACAGTGAGGGCAGGGGTCTTGTGTACTGCGAGGCCCTATGTACAGCTTGAAGCTTGGGGGAGATGAGCCCAGTGGCTACAGGAGTAAATGCCAAAGGGAGAGAGAAAGGAAGAGATGGCTGCTGGCCCCTGGGTACGGCATGGAGCCGAGACATCCACTTTCCAGCCCCAGCCGGGCAGCTGTAGCCTCCAGCAGGTGGCCCATTCACCTTCCCTGAGGCCCTTTTACCTTACTGGGCTTAACGCAACTTTGGTCCAAGGTTGACCCCCCCTCGAGCAGCTTGGAGCCCCTGCTTGGCCCCGGCCCCTGCACCGAGACCCCCACCCCAGGCATGGAAACAGCCAGCTGCTAACCAGATTGGGGCTCTGCTGTGTCCAGATGGGCCCCAGGGGGCAGTGGAGGGTCACTTTCCAGTTAAGGGCAGAGGAGCTGTAGTCCAAGGGCAAATACCCCACTGAGGCAGGCCCAGAATCCTATTATAAGGAGGGGGGCTCAGCAGTTTTAAGGCATTTAGGGAGGTTCCCCCCACGCCGCCACACTGTGGGAGGAGAGAGAGCAGAGTAGTCCTAAGAGGCTGGGCCCCTGCGTGGTACGGGAGCCATGTCATCCCCGAGTCAGAGCGAGGGAGTGGAGCCACACCGGGGGTGGGGGGGGTGGCTGAGTGGCCAGGTCTCCCCGAGGGCCCCCACCCCCCTGGTGTCTCCCCATCCTGAGGATAAGTGCTTTGAGATCCACAGCAGAAGGCCCCGCAGTTTCTAGGCTTTCTCAAGCTTCAGCACCCCCTACGGAAAGACCTCCCACTCAGAGCTGAGAACGGGACATGAGAAGGGCGAGGCCTGGTCCCCACAGAGGTGGCAGACCACCGCAGAGCAAGGACACGTGGGAAGTCCTGCCCCCACGTCTGAGCCCATGGCGGACAGGGCCCAGTGACGGCCACACTCCTTCCACGAGCCCGAGGTGTTCTCAGAAGGCTGCAGGCACCCACTAAGGACAAGCTAACGTTGGCACTTGAGATAAGGCTTCTGCCCTAACCCAAGCCCACTCCACTGCAGGGAGGGGTGAGCAGAGGTGGGGCCTCCGGCAGACAGGAATGGAGGGAGAGGCCAGAGTCTTCGTGGTCGGGAGTGGGATGGGTGTCTCGGGGCCCCCTGGGACAGATCAGAACCGGGGCCCCGTCTTTGCAAGCGTCATCCCAGGGCTCCAGCCCGCCCTGGGTTTTCTGCCGCCACCCTTCCACTCTTGTCTTGGTTTAAGTGCATTTTAGTTATTCATTAATAACAGCAAAAGCTATCTGCATCCACCCATCAGCCAAGATGGCCTGCTGCCTTGCAAGGATTCCTGCTCCTCTGCTCAAAGTGATGGGTCACTGGCACCGCTGTGAGCTCTAGCAGCTCCCCGGGGCCCAGGCCCTGGAGCTGCACCACCGGGAAGCTCATAGGGAACTCCCCTTCCAGGATACTCCACGTTCAAGGGCCCCAGGCGTACCTGGCCCACTGGCCCCACTGGTTCAGCCAGGCACTAAGCGTACATAAGGCACGTGGTCAGTCCCTCCCACCCATCCGGGGACGGCTTCGGTTGCCCTGGGAGCTTTTGGAGCCAAGCTCTCCCAGGGAGAGAAGACCTCCTGGGCCACACTTAAAGCTTTGAAGTGCAAGTCCAGTGTAACAGTCAAACCCTAAAAGTCCACCACCTCGCCGCCCCTCGGGGAGCAGCTTCGAGGCTGAGGGCCGTCTGCCCTCCACTGATGCATGGTTCCAGCCAAGTCTCGGGGCTCCCTCCACGCCCCCGCTGGTCCATCCCAAAGGCAGGCAGGTCCTCTCTGAGGGCCAAAAGGTAGCTCTCAGTCTTAAAAGGGGAGGCAGGGAGGGTGGGCTCTGGAGAGAGTCCCAGGCTTCCCCTTGCCTCCAGGGCATCCGAAGCCAGCCCTCCGGCCTCCGTAGCTGGACAGATGTGAACTGGCCCCTGGAGGTCCCCGGTTCCCTTCGGGGTGTGGGAGGAGTGACCAGCAGGAACAGCTGCTCCAGTGTGAGGACCTCGGCTTCACCCGGCGGGGAGGGCTGGGCCCAGCTCAGCCCCTGGGGGAGTGCCAGTGCGCGGGGGAGAGCGGGCAGGCTCCAGTGTACACCACTGCGTCCAGTGTAGGAAGGGCGCCGGGCCGGGCCCCGGTGCGGTGCTGCCCCGGGGAGGGCCGCTCAGTCACACAGGCGGTAGAAGCGGAAGTAGTAGTCTGTGGCCGGCCGGACCGGGGCCTCCGCGCTGCAGTTTGCCTGACCCTGAGCGGAAGCGCAGTGGGACTGGGTGAGGTTGCAGGGTGGGAGGTCCTCCCCCTGGTGACCTTTCCTGACACTGCCCCAACTCCTGCCCACCACCCCACCCCCAAAGACCCACACAGATGCGGGTGCTGTGCTCACCAGTAACGCCACCTGGAAGTGGTAGGTGAATTCACGGAAGGACAGGATGCTTACTGGCCACTGGTGGGAAGTGCCCTGGACAAAGAGTGGAGAGGGGTCAGCACAGCCCCCTGCCCCCGTCCCAGTCAGAATTCCTCTCCCGGGCCACCGCAGCCCCGGGCTCTGCTGCGAGTGTGAGGGAGAGGGATGGGAGGGAGCAGGCTCTGCTGTGGGCAGTAGCAGCAGCAGCCCCCTCAGTGCAGACTGGGCCAGGTCCGCAGCGGCTTTCGCCTGCTGCCTGCCCCTCTCCCCGTCTTGCCTGTCTCCCCTCTCACCCACTACGCTCGGGGCGCGTGGAAGCATTGCATTAACACCGTCACTGTCTTCACTGCAACCCGATGAGGTGGCACTGCTTGTGGACGAGAGGACTGAGTTCCTTGCCTAAAACCCCACGGTGGCACAAGGCAGAGCCGGACTCCAAGCCCAGGTCTGGCGTGCTCTCCCTGACAGGGCAGCATGAGGCCAGGCCCGGCCCAGGCAGCCTGCCCACCTCCTGCCCGCGGCTCTGGCTTTGCCCCCGCAGTACAAGGGCTCAGGCCTGAGCTCCACGGCTACTGAGCACCTTGCCAGGCTCCCCCCGCCCCCCGTCTCTGGGGGGCCACAGGGCCTGGGCCCCTCGGGCTCTCCCTCACACCATCCCCTGCTCAGGCTCCGTCCTGCACGTCTTCCTCCCTGGCCAGGGCACTGCTGGGAGGCAAGGCCTGTGCACGCCACACTCGTCTCCCCACAGCTGGGCCCGGCACAGGGCCTGCCACAGGAGGTCCCGGTGAAGGTTTTTTTAAAATTATTTATTGATTTTAGAGACAGGAAGGGGAGGAGAAACATCATTTTGTTTTCCCACCTATTTTTGAGCTCGTTGCTGGTCCCTTGCAGGGGCCCGACCGGAGATCAGACCCGCAACCTTGGCGCATCAGGACGGCGCCCCAGCCGAGCAGCCGGCCGGGCCCCTGAGCACTCGTCGGCTAAACACACGCAGGGTGAACAGAAATTTCCTTAACTTGTGCCGAGAGTCACAAGTGCAGGTCATGGCCAGTGAGGAGCTAGACGGCGACAGAATCCCAGCCACCTGGCTCCCAGAGCAGCAGGGAGCCCTCTGCACCCGGCCGGAGGCCTCCCCCAGAAACGCCCACAGAACTGTGCGGCCTCCCCAGCCCGCGCCTGAGGTCCGCTCCCCCTGCCCGCTGGCTTCCCGACCCACCCCCGCCAGCACGCCACGCTCTCCCTGGCCTCCAGACCTCTGCGCGTGCTCTCCCCCTGCTCCTGGGACACGGTCCCCAAATTGTCCTGCAGGCCTCATCTTAACTACACACGGCTTTTGCCAGTGGCCATCCTGACCCTGAGACCAGACAGGGTTCGCTGTCCCTGCTGTGGGCTCCCAGGACTCCCTGTCCCCTGCACCGCATTCACGTTAGTCCTTGTGGGACTGTGTTCTTCCCCAGGGCCCTGTCGGGGCAGGGACAGGGACAGAAGATGCTCGGCTGTGAATGGCGCACACGTGCCCCGCCCCACCCTGGGGCCCGGCTGGTTCACGGCTTCCCCACTGCCGTTTACCTGGGTGTCCTGGTGGGTGTGGAGGCTCCGTGGAAGGCCCCCTTCCTCACACGGCTCCTCCGACGTCAGGCTGCACAGCACCACGGACACGGGGAACGAGGAGCTGGGGAAGGCCCAGTGAGCAGGGAGGTGGGGTTCCGAGCTCCTCCACCCCGGCCCCCTCCCAGCCGGCGCCCCACGCCACCGCCCCTGCCCCGCTGACACGTGCCACTGAACCAGCACATCGCCCGGGAACGGTCCCTAACGGTCCAGGCCCTCGACAGCTGCAGGCCTGTTCCCATCCACCACCCCACACGGCTGAGGCCCCTGGGGGCAGCAAGCAGCCCCTTCTACAGACAGGCACTGAAGCCCAGAGACTGCCAGGGCCACGCCGCCAGAGGAGCCCAGAGCAGGCGGTCAGTGTCCCTCCTCGGGCCCGGGACCACCACGCCCCTCCCCTGCCCCCCGCTGCACTCACTTCATCTGCAGGGTCAGACCGAGGTGCAGAGGGGTGCCGCTGCTGACGGGGATGTGGTAGGTGACGTTCCCAGGCCTGAAAGGGCAAAGCTGCCTCCTCAGCTCAAGGCCACTGCCCCAGGGCCCCACCCCAACAGACTCCTCAGCCCTCGGTCTACACTGGAACCCTTAAGGGGCCTAGAAACGGACTGCCCCGTCTTGTGGGAGAAGTCCCTCTCTGAGGGGGCCAAGGTCTGGACATCTGCACTGCCTGGGCTCATGTCGTCTGAGGGAACCTGTCCCCGGAGTGAAGCGAGGGGGCCAAGCCCACCTGCAGGCGGCCCCCGGGACGCAGTACTGGGAAGTGATGGGCATCGAGGTCTCCAGCACCTGGATGGAGGTCAGGGAGGGGGCTGCGTCTGCAAGGAGAGAGGCTGTTGGGGTGAGGAGGAGGAGGAGGGTGACAAGGCAGGACACAAATGAGGAGCAGACAAACCTTTCCTTGCCAGATGTGGATCAGTCACTCACACCTTAGTACGAGTAAGTTCCATGTTACTCTTTCCAGACTCGGACAGTGGCTGGAGGCACACCACCCTCTTCCCCAACAACCCCAGGACTAGCCAGTCCCCAGGAGCCCGAGGACTAACTCCCCGGCAGAACCAGAACACCCAGGAGCCAGCGGGGACGGACGGTCTTCCCCAGCCCTTGCGTGGTGGCGGTGGAAGGGGAAACGGGGGCCTGCTCCTCAGGCCTCTGCTCCAGACTACACACATCTCCAGCCCACCCAGGGCCCATTCAAGCGGGTGGCTTGAATCAGCCACAGTACGGGTGCTCACACACATAAACTGGGGCTCCCCTCCACCCCAAAAGCCACTTGTGAGCGCGCCCCAGCCCACCACTGGCTGTGGGCCCCTCTGAAACGGACAGGCTGGCTGGCTGGGGTGGGGGAACAAGGCTTTCTCATTCATCTCAGTTCATCCCCAGGCTTGCTGCTGCCTGACCATCCGCCCAGGCAGGGGAAGCTGGGGCCACTAGCCACTGACCACTTGCTGGGCCTGCGACATTTTCAGTTCCATGAGGCAGCGAAGGGACCCAACAGGACCCAGAATGCCCTGTGGGGTCATGGATAGGCATCAGGTAAGGACACGATGGAGGGCGCCCTTGAACTTCTTTTCTGGGCAAACTCCTACTGTCCAGAGACCCAATTCCAATGTCCCCTGGCTGCTCCTTCCCTGATCACCTCCCCACCTTGGCCTGCCCTGAGCGCCTTCCTCGGCCACCCAGCCACCTCTCAGAGCCGCATCACACTGCCGCGTCTGCGTGTCTGTGAGCTCTGTGGGGGCAGAGCGGGTCTCCCCCCAGTGCCCTGGACAGAGCCGGCCACAGAGCAGGGCCCAGGAAACAGCCGTCAGGTGAGCACGTGCCCCACGGGGCTTCCCCGTCTCGGTGAACCTCGGTCTCAGTGAGCCACTGCTTCTCAGCTCGGTTTCTTCTCTGAGCCGCAACACCCATCAAACGGGAGCTGACAAGGAGGCCCGACACCTGGAGCAGAGCTACCTGGTTGAAGCCAGGAAGGCTCCTGGCCTCTCCTTCCACCCCCAGGGCAGCCGCCAGGGCACCACGGAGGAACCCAGCTTGAAAACCTCTGCGAGAAAGGATTCCTTTGCGACACTAAGGGTCTGAGGTTTGGAAAAACCCAGAAGGAGCCGGACCCTGGAGTCAGGCAGACTCGGTATCAAACACTCCAGCCCTGACTAGTCACTTCCCCGGTCTACGTCTCTGCTTCCTCACTGGGAAAATGGGGGCCATTCCTTTCGGCAGGGATGCCGTGAAGATGAAACGAGGCGCTCTCTGCAAAGCTCCCGGCCTGATTTCCGGTTACCGCTGATGGACAGTTCCCCCGACCCAGGCACTCGGGTGGGCGACTGGGCTGAAACGGTCCCTGGCCAGTGAGCTTTGCTGGGCTGGGCGGAGAGGTGAAGGGGGGCGGGGCAAGTACCTGGTGGGCCCCAGGTCTGAGTGGGGCCCAGGCCAGGCTGGGGGGCCCCTCGGCGGGCCCGGCCATGGATTCGGAGGCTGGGGCTGTTCTTGGTTTTGCCCTGCACCCTAGGGAAGGGGACTGCAGGACTGGCCACGGGCTCCAAGCCCTTTGGATGCTTGAAGTGGCCAATGCCATTGGCCGACAGGCCCCAGGACTTGGCTCTGATGTTGGTGACTGGCAGCAGGGCCATCTGGCTAGGGTCTGTGGATAGAAGCAGGGACAGGCTGAGTGGAGGGGACCAGCTGTCCCCTACCCAGCTGCCTCTTGGGCTCCACTGGACTCTGGGTGACCCCCAGTTCTCTTGCCCCGCCCCCCACCAAGGAGGCCCCAGTTCCTTCCAGACCCTCACTGTGGGCTCTAGGAGACCCTCCCACCAATGAGTCTTTGGGTTAGGGGTCGTCTTCCTCTGGGCTCAGGTGAAAAAAAATCATAAAAGCCCAACCCCAGCCCTGGCCCCCAAATAGCCACACCTGAGCGGTTCGTGGAGGGGCTGGGACCGGGGCTGGGACCACGGCTGGGGCTGACGCTGGAGCGAAGACTAGAGTCCGTGGAAGGGCTCGGAGTGGGTGAGGGGCAGCAGACGGCGGGGCAGGGGCGGCTGGAGCACAGGTCCAAGGCGCGGAGGGCCGGTCGGGGGGCTGAGCTGGTCAGGCCGGCGGGGACTGAGGAAGCCAGAGGCCGCGTGAGCTGGAGGCAGGCAGCAGAGCCCCCACCTGGCACGCAGCTGCCTCTCTCTGACCCCATCGCTCGAGACCCACCCCAGGCACGCACCCAGCAGCAAAGAGGGCCGTGTGCCTGGCAGCCCAGTGGTCACAGGGGACTGTCGGAGCTGAGTGGTCCCAAAGTTCTGGCTGGACCTGCTGGTGAAGGGTGGGCTAAGCTCAGAGGGGCTGGGACGGCCTGGGCAGCGGGGCCCGGGAGTCCCTGAGGAGCAGGAGGGGCAGGAGGACAGGAGGACAGGGAAGGTGGAAAGGAGGCAGGAAGAGGGCGGCAGGAGCCAGAGGGAGGAGGGAGGAGCTTGACCCAGACACGTACCACGGGTGCATGGCCTCACCCACCCCAGGGTGCTGGGGCCGGAGCAGGGCCAGGAGACAGGAAGTGGACACGGCAAAAGAGCTAAGGGGCAGCAGAGAGGAAAAGGGGGAGACAGGCGCAGGGGAGGAGAGAGAGAAGACACAGTCAGAGGTGGCCCCAGAGGCTGAGGGCGGCAGTGGGCAGGCAGAGCCCAGGGTCCCGCCCTGGCCCTCCTTCCCTCCACCCCAGTCCGGCCTGGGCCCCTCAGGTGCCTCCGGCTCTCGGAGGCCCAGATACCTGGAGGAGCACCAAGCAGCCAGAGAAACATCGGCTCCTGCAGGGACTAGAAAACAGCTGCCCCCTCCAAGGAGACCCTCCCAGCCACCGTCACAAGCCCCCAGCAGGCTGAAAGCCTAGGGTAGAAGCCCGTTAGAGGGGACAGCCTCCATAGCCCCTCTGTCCCTGGGCTGCCCGCCAAAGCCCCACCTGACCTGGCAGCTCAGAGGGCAGCCAGGCCTCCGGAGACCTACCCGTCCGTCTCCACCAGGTCCTCCTCGGTGCGCAGGCTCAGCACGTACAGGGTGGACATGGACACCACGCTGCGGACCACAGGGAGGGGCCTCGGTCAGGGCGGGAGCTGCGGTCTGGTGGTGCCCTGTCTCCAGGGCAGGGCCAGGGCTCCCAGGTGACGCCTGCGATGGGTCTCCCAGCCCCCGGGGTCGGGGGGGATGAACAACAGAGCGAAGCAGCCCACCTCCCTCCCCAGGACCTCCAGGGCTCTCTCAGGCCACAGCTTCCTCCTCCCCCAGGCCTAGCCCTGTGGGCAGCTCAGCTCCCCCCGGCCAGCCACCCCAGAGCCTGCGGAACAAGTCACCTGAAGGCCATGACCACCACCAGGGCAATGATGGTTCCCTGCAGGAAGCGCTGGCTGATGCAGGCCTGGTCTGGGACCACGGACGATGGCTGAGGACCGAGAGGACAAGGGAAGAAGCAGGAAAGGCCCAGACTTAGGGAGCCCGTGGCCTTAACCCCTGTGGGCCTCGCTGGAGGCCGGGGCGCCAAGGCTGGCTCATTCCCAGGAGGGCAGAGGGAGAGGAAGGACAAACAGGGCGGGGAGGGGGGCGGGGCATGGCTAGAGGGTCAGGACGGGGAGGGAAGCGCTTGGGGTCAGTGAGCTTGGAGAGGGGCACGCTGGAAAGGAGAGCCATGGGGGATGGGGAGGCCCCCTGGTCAACCTACCTCCCACCCCTGCCCACCCTTACCTTGCTGGCCACCTTGGGGGGCCTCTTCTTGTGGGGGACGCTGCCCACCCGGCTGAACTGGCTCCCTGTGTGGCTGCAGCAAGAGGGCCGGGGTCAGAGGTGCCTCTGGGAGGCGGGCCTTGCCCTCCCCCCGCCCCGCGCCCCCACCTGAAGGCGCCCGAGCTGCCGGTGGACTTGAAGCTGTCCAGCCGCCGCAGCTTGGCCAGCTTGTGGCTCCAGCGCTCCAGCTCGTCGATGCGCGTCTCCAGGTTGTCAGTGAGCTTGCACAGCTCCTTCACGGCACCCACGTTCTCCATGAAGATGCGCTCCTGACATGGTCCACAGGCCGACGCTGAGGGCGCCGGCTGCGCCCCGGGAGCCCCAGGCTACAGGCTCCCTGGGGAGCAGGAGGGGAGCCCTTGGGGCTTCCCTACCCGAGCCAGCATTCCCTCCAGTCCAGACGCAGCTCCCACAGCCACCACCCACCCCCCCGCCTGCCTCCAAACAGCACCCCCAGGCCTGCACCCCCAGGCCTGCACCCCGCTGGCTGGCCAGCCGGAGGAGCCCTCCCCGCCCCGTCAGGAGGCCGTCTCCCCGGGGCTCATGCTCTCCGATCTCCCCTCTCGTGAACATGGTGTCACACGCTGAAGCGCTCAACTCCTCAGCCTCGGCCCAAACGTGTTACAGCCCAGCCTCACGGCGGGCGAGCGGCAAACACCGTCCTCCCAGTACACCACGTGTGTCGGCTTTGCAAGGGCCACGCGAGGACGTCTTAGCCATTACTGTTGTTACCCTCCCTTGGCGGGGGAGGGAAGTGACCGTCGGCCAGGCTCCTCCTGCCCTTATCACACAGCCATGCAGTGGCCAAGTCCCCGCCTCTGCCCTGAAGCTCACCCCCTTCCCTCACCCTGTGGGGTGGCAAAAGGGCACTCTGGAGGCAGCACCCCCACCCCCCTGCCCCATCTCTTTGAAGGAGGGAGTGCCGTCCAGCAGGCCGGCCCCTCTGCCCCTTGGGCTCCCTCCAGGTCCCCCTGGGCACAAACCTTGTTCACCACCAGAAAGTTCTCTATGGTGTTCCCGTTGGCAAAGACCACGTCTCCAGTGTCCTTCACAGCCTCGGGCAGGATCTCCTTCACCTCCTGGGCGATGACACCTGGGGACAGGCCCAGCGTGTATGGAGGGAGGGGGTGGGCACCCTCGGCACCTCATGTAAGGAGGGGGGCGGCAGGGGCTGGAGAGGGCCAGGTTCTGGGGGCCAGAGATCTGGGTTCCAGGGAGCCCTGAATTGGGGAGCTCCACCTGCAAGTGTGTGCAGGGTCACAGTCCCAGGGGTCAAGGTGTGGGGTCCCCCTGGCTGGGGGAAGGGACAGACTCCTGGGAGTAAAAACCCCGGAAGCAGAGGGCGAGGATCCAGGAGGACACACGCAGGATCCGTGCAAGGGAAGAGGGGCAAGCGTCCCTGGGCGCAACTCTCGGACTTCCAGGGTCCAGGGTGGGATTTCCCAGGGGCTGAGCAGTGGGCCTGGGAGAGGGCAGGGCTCCTGGGGGCGGAGTTCCAGGAGTCACGGGGAGGGGTTCCAGAGGATGGGAGCAGGGGCAACTGGATTCCCAGACCTCAACCCCCATCCTTACCTGTCTCCGGTGCCGAGGCCTCGATGCCGGCGGTGGCCGCAAACTCCGGCTTGTATCTGTAGTGCACCAGCCGCATGCGCGAGATCCTCTTCAGCTGCTCCGTGGTGTCCACCTGCGTGGGGGCCACTCCTGAGACCCCACCCCTCCCCTCCTGGCTGGTCCAGAGCGGGACTAAAGTCCAAGAAGGCAGCAGCCCAGGGGCTGGAATGGGGAGGGGAGACCCTGCTCTGGGGACCCCAGGATCCAGGAATCCAGGCCCAGCCTCCCCGCTCTTCCTCCCCCTGCCCTCAGCCCCCCTTGCTGGTAGCTCAGTTGTCCCCACCTCTTGCACGTGCTCCTTGGCCCGAAGGTCCGACGGGTGCATGAGCGAGCCCATGACCTTGACGTTGCCGTGCACGACCAGCGCCTCGTCAGGCCGGTCCGTGTTGATGCCCACGCGGCCGTGGTGGAAGACGGTGTCGGGCACCTGCGCCCGCTGCCACAGCACGTCGCTGTCGCTCTCAAACTGGCCTGGGTTGGAGGCCTGGCCCAAGTTGGGGGTGGAGGGGTCAGGCCCGGGGGGATGGGAGACCTGCAGCACCCTGGGAAAGGGGGAGGCCCCGCCCGCAGCCACCGCCCCCCTCAGCTCCACCCAGGGCTCCTCGCCCCACCGTGAGTAACTTAAACTACCCCTCCCACTGTGGCCATTGCCAGTCACTTGTGGGATTTCAGAAAGCTACCAGGCCCTGTGCACCTCAACGCTACACTGCGAAGAAGACACTGAGGCCCAGAGAGGGTGGAGCCTTGCCCCAGGCCACACAGCTCCGCCCAGCAGGATCCGCACTCCAGCCCCTGCCTCCCCAGCACCCCGGCGTCTCTCCCGGGTGCTGTCCTTTCAGCTCTGTCTGGGGAGGACTCTCCAGGCCCTGGGCGGAGGTGGCCCTCACCCGCACGATGATGCGCTCTGAGATCTGGGCAGCCAGCGTGTAGTTCTGATTTTGTGCGTGGGCCTGGAGGGCCACCACCAGCATGAAGTACCTGGGGCACACAGGGGTCTTAGAGGCACCCAGGGATCCCACCCCACCTGCCTCTGCCCACCCCCCCACCCCCCCCCCACAACCCTTCCCAGGTCAGAGGCACAGTCTTGCCCAGAGCACAAACTGCCTGCCCAGTCTTCTCCGGGGGCTCCCAGGACCCCGAGAAGTGGGCGCGGGCATCCACCCTACAGAGGAGGAACCGGAGCCTCCACTAGGGGGCGGAAGTTCCCCAGGGCCCACAGCTCGGCCTCAGAGGAGTTTATTAATACAGAAGCTGGGTTTCTGCTCTCCCACCCCTAAATCGACGAAGGGTCTGAGTTTCAGACTCCTCATCTGTGAAGTGGGTCAGTCTGTGGGGCTCTTCCTGGTGTGCTACACCGGCTGGCACCTTCCTGACCCCCCCTCCCCAGAAATGGTGCGACTCCAGCGCAGGGGGCCAGCCCACGCACCTCTGGTCAGGGTTGGGCTTGCCCTTCTTGCGCATGTTGTTGGCAGTGGTCTCGCTGAAGTGCAGCCGCCCCACGGTCACCTTCGTGACCTGCTCAGGGGGCAGACTGACCCTGCAGGGGGCGGGGGGAGAGGCAGGATACTCAGGGGGCAGGCCCTGGGGGCCGCAGGGGGCACCCAGGTGTGGGAAGTGGACCTTGTGGGCGCCTGCCTAGCCCCCCTCCGCTCCCAAGCCAGCCCCAGGGTCAGCCCTCCCAGGCCCCGCCCCCCCAGGGGCCAGGCGCTCACGTGACAGGGTTGAAGGGCCGCTTGCTGCGGTCCGACTGAGACTGCTCGATGTTGATGCACTGGTTCAGGGCCTCCAGCTGGGGGAGGAGCAGAGCCCACGGGCACTCAGGGCCTGGCGCCCCCGGGCCCCGGCACCCTGCAGCCTCTCAGCCCAGGCCTGGCCCAGCTGGAGCTCGTGAGGGACGACGGCACCACCCGCCCCTCAGCAGCACTCCCCCAGACACTAGGGAGCCATCTCCTGCACAGCTGCACACCCCAGACCCACACCTGCCCCCGTTCCCCCACCTCTGTGTGCACACGCGAGCATACACACACTCCACGGTCACCCTCGTGGCCCCCAGTCCACACCCACACTCCCCCAGCCCGAGCACACGCCCCCAGCCGGCCTCCACAAACACCCACCCACACCCACACCCGCTCGCTCCCAGTCCCCCCTCCTGTGTCCCCTCCACCTCTCCCCAGGACCCTGCCACAGCCCCGGCTCAAAATCAAGGTCCACTGACGTCGTGCTGGGGAGGGAAGGGTCGTGGGGGCGGGGCCTCTAAGTCAGGGCGGGCCTTAGGGCAGGTGTCCCCAGGGACTACGGCAGCGTGGACAGTGAAGGTCAAGGAGCAGTCAGCCAGGAGAGGAGGGATGGAGTGGGTGGGCACGGCAGTCTGGGGCACAGGCAGTGGTGGGGCTGGACCCCGAAGGCCGTGGTGGGCTAAGCTCGGAAGTCAGGGCTTTGCCAGGAGGGCACGGGGCGGGGGGGGGCGGGGTTGTGGTAAAACAGGGAGTGTCATGCCCACCTGGGTCTCAGGTGGGGCCTGAGGTGGGAGCCAGAGTGGAGGCTGCTCTGGGTGTTCGGACAAGGAGAGGAGTGGCCTTGTCCGGGGAGAGGGGTCAGCGGGACCTGGTGCGTGATGGCGTGAGGGCAAGTGGGCCCCGGATTTATGGCCTGAGCGGCCAGGGCCCTGGAGCCCTGCTCCCCGGGGAGGGGCAGTTCGCAGGAAGTTCATTTCGGGGTGTGAAGCTGAGAGAGCGGTCAGGAAAGGGGGGATCTTGGCTGGGGATACAGACTTGGGGTCAGGAGGGGGAAGGACGCGAGGAGCCCCACGGTTAAGGGGCATCCCAGGGAGAAAAGACGGGAGGCTGGGTGGCAGGGGGCACTCGGCCATGAGGAGTTCCCGCCCGGAGCACCCCCCCCCGGCCGCCCCCCCCTCCCCGAGCCCCCCAACCTGCCTTCACTCCGTGCAGCTTCAGGTAGAAGCAGTCGAGGGGCTTGAGGCCTTCGGGCGTCTTGACGTACTTGGGCTCGCCCAGCATGCCGATGTACACCGTCACCTGGAAGTGGTTCTTCTTCTGACACACGAAGGCGTCGTCTCCCACCGAGAAGTTGAAGCCCTTGTCGGCGTCCACGCGGTAGGTGAGCATGGGCCTGGGGGCGGCGGGGGGAGGGCACACGCTGGAGCCTCCCCACCCCCTGCCCCGCCCCAGCTGGGCCTGCGTGCCAGTTCCCTACCCTGCACCCCTGACCACGGGGCTGCCCCCTGCTTCTCAGAAATGGAAACTGAGTCCCCGGAGGACGTGGGCTCAGGTCGGCCAACTCCTCAGCTGCTGTTCTTTCCTCCGCACGCCTGGGGCCGACCACCCTGCCCTGGGGATGGGGGAAACGGGGCAACACACCTGAGGCCCACCAGGTGGGATGAAGTCCTGAGGCGGGCAGGGGGGGTGTGTGATGGCCCCTCCCCACACTTGGCTCCTTCCCAGAACACTGCCTGGAGCCCACCCCCTCCATGGGTGATGGGGTTAGAGGGGATGGTCTGCAGAGCCTCACTTCGCCTGACAGCTGGTTGCCATGGAAACGGTGGAACCAGGCGCCGGCTCTGAGCTGGCCCAGCCCCGGCCCATAGGGCCCCCGCCAAGCCCCCGCGCATCCTCATTCCCACTCCTCCGTGTGCCCGGATGGGGACGGGGTGCTCTGGGCGGCTGGACTCAGCCGCAGTTCGCCCGTCTGTGGCTGGGAGACTGGTCCACGTCTGTACCCCTGTGTGGCTTGGCCCGCCCCCACCCAGGTCCCCCCGCACAAGCAGGGCTGCTGGTGTCCCATGCCCGGTGCCTGCCTGGGGGAAGCTGGGCACGGACAGTGCTTCCAACCTCGTGAGGAGAGGACTCGGCCTGGCCGATGTCCACAGCAAGGCCAGGGCCTACCACTTCTCCCTCCCGGGACTCCACCCACCGGCCTGCGCCAGAGGAACACCCAGGAAGTGCTTGGGCCAGACCGGGGGCCTCAGCTGCCAGCTGCCTGGCCTCGGGGCCTGGGGTGGCAGGGCTGGCCCAAGAAGTCGGAGTGGTGGGGGGGTCCTCACCAGGCCATAGAGGCTGGACCCCCAAAGACCCCTCCCCAACCCTGCTGGGGCCTCAAGGGACCCTTCAGCCACTGAGGCAGCTGGAATCCCCCCTCTCCCACCCCGCACCCTGAGGGCTTCTCGTTAAGAATCCCCCAGAGCCCAGGGTGCCCAACTCCAGGGGGCTGGTCTCAGCTGTGGGAGGGCCCAAGGGCAGCCACCCTGCTCAGGCCTGGCAACGTCCAAGGTGAGCCGAAAGGAACCACACTCCCCCTGTCACCGGCCTTCTGCGGCCGTCAGGGGAGTGGTCCCGCAGTGCTCCTGGCCGGGCCGGGAAGCCGAAACCAGGTGGGTGTTGAGGAAGGGCTAGGAATGCCAGGCGGCCTTGGACCCAGTCCTCCCCCACCCTCTGGGCCCCCTCCTCCAGCAAGGGGGCTGTTTGTTGCAAGGGCCTTGCTAACACTCAGCTTCCTGCTACCTTCCTGGAATGCAGGAGGAGGAGGAGGGCAGGAGGCAACAGGGAAGGAGAAGCCAGAAAACACCTACCCACACACTTCTCCCTGACCTAGCCCCCGCGGCGGGCCCCTCCCTGGCACACACCACCTTCTTCAGGAGGCTGCGGGCGGGCCCGGGAGTCAGACACCCTGAGCCCCAGTCCAAGCTCTGCCCTGAGCCGGTCTGCTCCTCTGTCCAACAGGCCGTCTGGCACCCAGGGTGCTCCCAGGCCCCCGCTGTAGGACCTTGACGCCAGGGCTGGGGGGCCCCGGGCGGGGGGGCGGGGGCGGGCCAGGAGGGCGGGGAGCGGCACCGGCCACTCACAGCTCCTTGTAGTTCGCGTCGTACAGTGTTGCCCACTTGTTCTGCTGATGTGGCTGCCACTTGATGGACTGGTAGTTGGGGTCCAGGTAGGAGCCACTGAGGCTGTCACTGTCCTGCAGGAGACCTGGAGGGAGGGAACGCCCACGTGGACCCTGGGCCCCACCCCCCAACACAGAGAATGGTGCCCGCCCCCCCCCCCCCACCGCGGGGTCCAGCAGGCCAGCCACGTACCTGGCGACGGCGCACCCGGTGGGTGCCAGGGCGGCGTCTGCACCCGGGCGATGCTGAGGGGCAAGGAGCCGGGGCCGGGCGAGAGCGGGCCCTGGGGAGGCCAGGGCGGGGACGGGGCTCGAGGGGGGTGTGGCGGCAGGGCTGTCCCAGTCCCGGGCTCCTGTTTGATCATCCCGTTCAGCATCTGGGCGTTGAGGGTGTTGGGGGGTGATTCCGAGTGCTTCCTCTTCTTCGAGGGGTGCGTGGGGAGCCTGGGTGGGCAGAGGGGTGGACCGTGGGGGGCTGGCCTCCCCTGAGCCGCCCTCCCCTGAGCAGGAACCCCTTCCCTGTTTCTGCAGGATGTGTCCAGCCCGGAGGACACCTCCTACAGGAAGCCCCCCGGGCTTCGCATCCTGAGAGCTCCCCCGTCACTGTTTCTGTCGCTCAGTGACCCCCCAAACTGTGGAATCTGGGAGGGCAGGCACCACACCTGACTCGTCTGTGTGTCCCCATCGCGGCCAACAGTGGGCCCGGCAGGCAGGGTGCCCACAGCCGCTGGCGCAGGGAGCGAGCCTGCCCCGCCCCCGGGAGGTCACTCTCAGCCTCCCGCTCCCAGCGGAGGCTCTGGGGAGAGCCGCCTCCACGGCCAGAAACCAGCCACGGAGGAGGCCCTGGGCCACAGGGGGCGGGAGGGGAGTTTCTTAGGAAAAGGGGCTGAAGGTTTGGGGGGCTGCAGAGCACCCCTTCTCCTTCCGGTTGACCAGCAGTTTAGGCCGTGGGATCTTTCCCTGAACCAAACCTTTCGTGAAATCTCCGCGCGGGAGACACGAAAGGACAGTTCTGCGGGCTGCAGTCAGACCCGGGAATCCAGGTCTACACCCGGGACCTCCTCGGAAACCCGGGGACTCCACGAGACGGCTGGGAAGCCACTCGTGTTTGACGACAGCACAGCCCGGGTTCAGCTCTTGACTCCGTCCCTCCTAGTTCCACGAGCTGGGCACGCATTTCCTCTCTTGGAGGGAGCCCCAGTTGACCCACGCGGGCCACGGGAACGGCCATGCCGCCAAACGGGCAGGCAGGAGCACTCGGCCGATGGCTGGAAATCCCCGCCGCCTTGCTGGGCACGTGCAAACACGTACGCTGACCCTGTGTCCTGCCGTCAGAGCCTTCCGCCCTTCCTGGGTTCATGCCTGCCCCCACCTGCACTCTGTCCTGCCTGCCTGCTGCTCCCTGACCGCCCAGCCCACCTGGCCTTCCCACCCCAGTTGGCGGCCCGGTCTTACTCGGCTCCATGCTGCTGCAGCAGCTGGTGCAGCATCTGGGACTGCTGGGCATGGTGCAGCTCAGCGGGCACCAGCCCCTGCCCCATGGCCGCGTAGGGGGGCATCGGGGGCTCCGCCTTCATGTACAGGTCCCGCTGCAGGACGGGGTAGTGAGGCGGGGGCGGCGGGGGCGGCGGGGGGCCTGGCAGGTGGGCTGGCGGTGGGGGCAGGTGCTCCAGGCGGGAGGGCCCCCCCGCATGGCACAGGGTCTCAGGGGTTAGGGTGCGCAGGAGGTGGGGGTCTGCGGGAGAGAAAGGGGTGGGCGTCAGAGACCTGCCCCGGGCACCAGCTCTCCCCTGGCCTGCCTCTGCAGGGTCTCCTGGGTCCCACCCCTCCGGGGCCAAGCGTGGGGGCTGTCCCCCCATCAACTCCATGCGGGAGGAGAGTGGGACAGCCTTTCCCCCCATTTCCGCCAGCTCCTGCCCCTGGGCCGGGCTGGGAAGGTGCTCCCTGGGGGAGGTCGCTCAGCCCCAGGTTCTCTGAGCACCTCTCGGGGCTGATCCTTCCCTGGGCCTCGGGAAGGAGCCTACGGAGACCCCCCAGCGAGGTCCTGCGGCAGCATCCTCCCTCCGGCAGCCCCTCGCCGAGGCCCCCAGGGGCCAGCCCCCCAGCCTGAAGGGGGAGGCCCAGCTCCCTTTGTTCCCCAGGAGGCATTCCAGAGATGTTTTTGGTAAGATAAACAGAACTCTTGACCCCTCTCTGTGCTGTGGGGAGACTGCTGCCCCGTGATCCTTCTGCTCCTGGCCACCTGGCGGCCGCAGCTCCCCTGAGCACCCCGAAAGGTGCGGGGGGCCTGGCGGCTGGGGAGGCCCGTGCCCGGGCTGCGGCCACGGCCTCCCCAGCCGTCTACTTACCGCTGAAGGGCGCCTCCATGATGGCGCGGGCGGGCAGGCGGGTGGCATCGCCGGCGGGGACACCAGCTCGGAGGCAGGGCCGGGCTCCCCACCCGCCTGAACAATAGCCAGCGCCAGGGAGTATTTGACCAGCGATAATCGAGGCCTGCTGGGCAGCCACCGGCCCCCTCCCTCCCTTGCTCCCTCCCTCCCTGATAAGGCCGCCCCAACCACTTGCCCAAACCCCGGAGGGGGAGGGCGGTGCCCGCCGGACTCACCGTTCACCTGCTGCGGGGAATAGGCCTCGGAGCCCGAGTCTGGGGGGGAGTCAGGCAGTGTGCTGCAGGGGAGAGGGGGAGGGGCTGCTGAGACCCGGCCTCCAGTGGGGCAGCCTGGGCTGGGCCGGGCAGGGCCCAGAGCCCCCAGAGGCTGGGAGTCTCCTCACTTCCACCCTTGGGGCCTTCCTCTGCACCCAGTCACCTTGGGGTGCCTAGCAGTTTTTGAGGGGAGCCTTGGGCTCCAGCCCAGCATCCCCGCAGACCCACTGGGCACTTGGGGGCCAGTGACCAGTGCCCTCAGTGATGACGGCGCAGACGTGCACAGGCTCTCTGCCCGGTCCGAGGGCCGAGGCCTGCTCCCCGCTCCCTGCGCCCACTGAAGCCCCCACTTCCTGGAAACGTGAGGTCCAGGAGGCTGGGCGGGCCCTCGGGGGCCTGCCCCACCAGGGGCAGGTGTGGACTGGGCCGGGAGCCAGCTCGGCTGGGCCTGGGTTTATTTTCTTCTCGCAGGTTTTGTTTTTATCAGTGGTTCCAGCAAAAGAACAGATTGAACCCGAGAGGTCAGCACGCCCGGCAGGCACCCAGCACGGGGTCCAGCAAGGGGACGGTGCGGCCGCACGGGGACCCCCACATCCGGGGAGACAGCCCGCCGCTGTGCCAACCACCGCGGACACGGCCTGGGGTCCCAGAGCCCCGGTGTGCTCCCCGGGGTGAGCCCGCACCCAGCCCCACAGGCGGTGGGGGGGGCGACAGAGAGAGTCGAGTGACCGGGACTGAACCCGGCCGCCGACCCGGTCTCCCCAGCTCCACGTCCGTCATCCCCTGTCTGCTCCCCGCACCTCCCGACAGTGGCCTTGGGCTGCCCTAGTGTGCCTTTCACACCCTCGGATCAGCCCTGCCATCCGCTGCCCCAAGTCCACGGGCCCCTGTTCCCTCCTCCTGATGCCCCTCGGGGCACTCGTCAGCCAGGCCCGAGGCAAGCTACTGACTGGAAACTCCCTCCCCAGCCAAGCCGCAGGTCCCACGGCAGCGGCCCCGCCGCGTCTGTCCCGTTTGCCACACGGAACAGGGCCTGGCTGAGGCGGGGCGGGGCGAGGCCCGGGCCACAGAGTCCCTGTGTGGTGTGGACGAGCGAGCCCTTCCCCTCTCTGCAAGGTGACCTGTGGGCCATCAGAACACCCCCGGGAGGACCGGCAGAGCCTCCCTCTGGGGACGGCTGACAAGCTCACTCCGAGGCGTGGGGCGCAGCAGCGGGCGCCCAGCGGGCGCTTGCCGCAGTCAGTTCTCTTCCCTCCTGCCTTCCCTCCGGGGGCTGTGGCTTTGGGATGGCCTCCCGGCCTTGAGCCCTCGAGCAGTGTCTGCCTTGCCTACCCCCCGACAGCCCCGCTCGCCTCCACTGCCCAAGCCCCGTGAGCCAGGAGACAGCTACGCCCCCCAGCCCCCAGCGCCCCCAGCACCCCCGCCCTTTATTTCCACAACACCTGCAGGGGAAGCATTTGGGGCTCCCTTCACAGGGAAGACGCCGAGGCCCTGGCCGAGGTAGTGGTCACGATGCCGGGGGCCTGGCTGCGGCGGGGCCGTGGATGAAGCCAGGCTGTGTGCACAGTGTCCTGCTCCCAGCCCCGGTCTGTCCTTCCACCCACAGACAGCGCTCCTGTCCCCGCCGGGGACCCAGGGCATCCCTGCGAGCCCCTGTGCGGGGCCCGGTGTCCCTGGCTCTCCCCACCAGTGCGCGTCTGTGCACTGCCCTGGGGTCTGGCTCACTGGGCCGGCCACCACCCAGAACCCTTGGTCACGGCCCGACGCAGGCTGAGCCCGGAGGCAGGCCGTTGGCCTGGGCTCCTCGAATGCGGGGGAGGGCCTGGGAGGCCGGCTGGGGCGTGGGGCTACAACATCGGGTGCCCTGCCTGCACCGTCGGCCGCTCCCTGTGACGCAGCAAAGACTGGCTGCATGCTCCACTGCGTGGACGGAGCTGGCGCGACGAAGGGGGTCTGTGTGCCCGCTGACCCGCACACATGTGTTGGTGGTCCCGTGCGTGGTAACAGTTGTGGCTTCCAGGGCCCCCCCCATCCGGTCCACTCCCCACACGGCTCTCAGAGATTCCCAGCACCACAGTCAGCCCTCCTCGCTGGCCCTGCCTCAGAGCGCGGCCACAAGGCCCTCCCCACCTCACCGGGCAGCCTGGTCACCACCGCCTGGCCTTGGCCAGCTCCTCCCAAGCCCAGGGTCACTGGCCCCACTCCGTGCCTGCTGCTGGGCCCTGCGTCTAACCTGCCCCCCATGGCCCCTGCCCTCACTCACCCTGGGGCATAGGGAGCCTTGGGCTCTGCCTTGATGGGGGGCCCAGAGCCCCCCAGGAAGGGCTTGGGAGCGGCACCCATGCCATTGTTGTTGTTGCAGTTGAGCGGGGCGCTGTAGCTCGGGGGCGGGTGGGGGCCATGGCGCCCCGGGGAGGGTCCGCCGCCAGGGGGGCTCAGGTGGTGGACCCCGCTGGAGCCGGGGATTGCTGGCTGCCCGTGGGCGTAGGCGGCGGCGCCGGCTGGAGCAGAGATGTCAGGGAAGCAGCTGTGGAGAAGGGAGAAGCTCAGCGCCAGCCAGGCCCCCAGCTGCTCCCGGGGCCCCCACCCAAAGGGCAGGCGGCAAGGCATGGGGGGCCGTTGCTGGGAAAGGACCGATAGCTGCTTTCAGAGGTGGGGCCCTCACACCTCCCGGTGACAGGTGGAGGCTGGGCCTGGGGGTGGGGCCGAGGCCATGCTGGGGCCACTCACAGGTCGGAGGCATCCTCCTTGCTGATGTACTCCTCCAGGATGCTGGTGTCGATGTTGGAGGGCTCCAGGGCGCCATTGATGTCGTGGCCTGCAGGAGAGGGACAGGTGTGTGAGCCCAGGCAGGGGAGGGTTGCCGCTCCTGGAGGCACCACGGCCTCCGGGCCACCCCTCCACCTGTCCCCAGGCAGGGCCGCCCAACACAGTGCCCTGGGCTCCTCCCCATCTGCCTCTCCGTCCACCGTCCACCACCTGACCTGACACTCCCCCACAAGCAGGCATGGACTCCCCACCCTCGGCCCATAAGGCCACCTGCAGTCCCCAAGGAGGGGAGGGGACCAGAGCTCGGATCTGGGGCAGACACAGGCCCCTTCTTGCCCTCCGTACCCCATTCTAGCTTCCTCGCATGAGCAGGCCCCTTCCCCCTATCTGTAAAGTGGGGAAGCGCCGCCCTGTCTTGTGGGGCCCTGTGAGGTGCTTTACTGGGTCGAATGCCCAGTGGGTGCCCGCCACCCTCGACGACTCTGTCCCACCCTGTTCAGTAGTCAGTTCCAGACGGCCCAGCTGGTGGGCACCCAGGGGCACAAGGCCTGGGTGGGCTGGACGACACATCCTGGGTGGGCAGGCCGTGGGCTGGGGGAGCCTCCTGCACCCCAGGCCCCAGACGGAGAGGGCGTGGGGACCAGGCCCGGGCGTGCCCAGCCTGTCCGCTCTCACTGCACGTGGTCGTAGCAGGGCTGGCCGCCTGCAGAGGTGAGAGGTCCCGAGAGGTAAGCAAGGGCTTGCCCTGGCTCCAGAGCAGGCATGGCGGGCCGGGCCCTGCTCCTCCGCCCGCCCTCTCCTGGGCCCTCCTCATTGGCCCCAGCCCCATGGAAGGGAGGGACTCCCAAAAAAGGCGGCCCAGCGCTCTTGGGCATCAGCAGGGAGGAGAGGGGGAGGCGCTGGCCTTTCCCCTCCCAGGGTCACCTTGCGGGGGGAGCTGGAGGGCGGGGTGATAAGGGGGCTGACGTGGGAGATGCGTCAGCCCCGATAGTGGAGGGCGGCCCCACCCACGCTGCTGACCTGGACCAGCCAGCCCCACTGAGGCAGACGGCACCCTCCCCAGGCCCCGGGGGCCCGAGTCTGGGGTCCGTCCCCGCCCTGGTGAGCTCGGGGAACAGCTCAGGCAGGTGCAGGAACAAACCCTGGCCCACCCACTCCCCGCCGTGTGGCGCTGGGCAGGTCACCGCCCTCTCTGAGCCTCAGTCTCCCCGTGAGTGAAATGGGGATATAAACAACTCACAATGTGCAGACTCGTTTCAAGTGCGAAGCACGTGAAGGTGTGTGTAGGGTGCCTGGCACAGAGGGGGCGCTCGGCCGACGGGGCGGCTGACCTCACTGCCCCGTCCTCGGAGCCCTGGGGTCCCCGGGAGCCCCCCGCCCAGGCCCCTCCCCGGCCCCGGCCGGCATCTCAGGAATGCTGAGCCCCGCTTAGGTGATTAATGAGAGCTAAGCCCTCCTAGGAGTCACGCGCTGCCTGGGACAGGCCCTCCTGCGGCCCCCCGGCCCCCCACCCCCCCGCTCACCCAGCCGGGAGCGAGAGACACCCACCGAGCACGGCCAATGGCCGTCTGGGGCTCCGTGTGGCCCGGACCAGGGGAGCTTCTCGAGCCGGGAACGGCCAGTCTGCATGCCGAGGCTCTAAGACTCCTGTCTACGTCCCGGCCCCCACCCCTGCTGACCACAGTTCCCGTTTACTGAGCACCTACTATGTGCCAGGCACTTTGGGAGCCGAGGACATAAATAATCACAGGACCGTATTAGATGCAAGGCATTCCACAGGCTCCTCACGTACGGGGTGACAATAATGGCGCCTATAGGATGGTGACAGCAGCATCTCATCCTGACGGCCTGCCTGCCAGGCCCACGCTATTTTAAGTGCTTTTTATGGGTTTACCTCCCAATCGCCCCTGGACACTTGGTGTTATTATGAGCATCATTCCCTTTGCCCAAAGAGGTCAAGTCTCTTGCCCGAGGCAACCCAGGAGCAGGGGCCTGATTACAAGGGGGAAGATGTGGTTACAGAGACCTCCGGGCCATCCAGGGCCGGCCCAGGGGCGGGGTGGGGGGGGTGCCCCTGAGGAAGGATGCACGCAGGAGATGCAGAGGGAGGGGTGCTGGAGGAGCTGCCCAGCCCTGGCTGCTGAAGCTGCAGGTTTCAGAGACTGAACTTGGAATCCACCGTGAAGGATGGGGTGACGGAGTCATGGTGTTGCTATTTATAACAGGGCCAGGGCCCTCTTTCCCTCCTCCTCCTCCCCCGGCCAGGAGTGTTCCTAATCACCCCTAATCCTCCTGCCCACCTCCCCCAGGATAGGGGGGCCTCCAGCGGAGGCATCCTGGGAGACCCTAACAAGAACCAGATGTGGGTGGGGGGAGGACAGACCCTCCCGTGCCAGGGGCCGGGTGACTGAGGAGGGAGGAGGGAGCCACTGGGGCAGGATGGGGGTGGGCCAAGGGGTGGGTGGGTGAGGAGCTGGAGGTTTGGGGGCTGGCGGGCCTCCTGAAGGACGCTGACCCCACACCGTGTCCTTCCCCGGGAGCCCTGGAGGCCAGCCTGAGGGGCCCCGCCACCAGGCAGACACCCCGGCCTGCCCCGTGAACCGCACTGCGGGTCTCTAACAGATCATTCCAGGAGGACGGGGTGGGGGTCGGGGCTGGTGGGAGCCCAGGGATTCCTGAGGCTGGGGCCGGGCCCCCAGGAACCCAGGAGGAAGGCAGGGCCCCCACGGCTCCCGAGAGAGAGAGAGCCCTGGAACATCCTTGCGCCAACAACAGCAGATACCTGTCAGCAGGAAATGCGTCTCCGGCTGACCTCCCAGACCTCCCTGGGAGGCAGCGGGGGGCTGCCCGAGGTCCCGCACCAGAAGGTGGTACCGCCAGGTCACAGACCAGCATCGCTGCCCTCCCCCTCCTCAAACCCTCTAACACCTTCCCGCGGCTCGGGAGGACCGGAGCCCTCGGTGGTCCCGGGCCTTGGCGAGGTCAGCAGCCTCCTGCCCGCCCCTCAGCCTCTTCTCCTGCCCCCCAGGCCTCCTTCCCGTAACCCTCCACGGTCCAGCCCCGGCCTAATTCCGCCGTCCCGGGACAAACATCCCCGCCCTGCCCCGCCCTGCCGGGAACCTCAGGGCCTTCTCAGGGCCCTGCCGGACAAAGCCCATGCCCTGTGCACGGCCCACCGCTCCCACTCCCTGCGTGGTCGTCCTGGGCCTGACGCCACAGCACGCCCTGTATGGGGCTCATCCGTGACTCCCAGAACAACCCTGTGGGGTGAGTGGTTTTCTTGTTCTCCATTTCACACACGTGAGGAAGCGGGCTCAGAGGGGTCGACGCCTGCCCACGGCTGGCAGAGGTGGGAGCTGGGCGGAGCTCCACCCTGCTCTGTCTCCCTGGGATCTCAGCACCTGAGCCCGCGGAAGGCACGCAGTCAACGCTCCTGGAATGAGCGAGGGAAGTGGCCGGGGGGCACCCAAACCAGGCCTCGCTGTGGTCCGGGGCCACCCATAGGCCCCGGGGCCCCTCCAGGGACCGTCCCTGCCATGCTGAGCTGTGCACCCCAGCTGCTTCTCATTAATCAGGTCCTTTATTACCTGCTTCTAATAGGATCCAGACACTGCCCCTTCCCAGGCGGGCTGGGGTCCGGGCTGCAGGAAGGAAGACCCCTCCCCTCCTCTCTCTTCCGTCCTTCAAGGCCACTCAGCTGGGCAGAAGGGAACCGAGGGGACGTGAGCCAGGTGCAGGACGAGGGCGGGTGGGGACCCAGGTGGTCATCCACCCTGGACCCTCCCTTTCCCCCTCCTCGTGCTCATGCCTACTCCCTCCCCACCAGCTGTGGCCACTGGCTGAGTCTCAGCCATTGTCCTGGGGGACGGGGGAGGGTGGGGGCCCGGCACAGTGGGTGGCTTGTGCCCTGCCCACACCCTCCCCCCTGCCCGTCAATGGGGCACTTGTCAATTCATGCGCCAAACATGGCGGAAATCCCGTCAGCCACGTGGCCGTGGGCAGGGCAGGGCAGGCCAGGGCCTGAGAGTGCTGACCGGGCCTGGCTGATCCGAACCTGGGGCTGGCCGGGCCCGAGGCTCACGCCTGTCCCCCTGCTGCGCTGAGTGTCCACCCCAGGTGTTGCAATCTGACAAGCATCCTGACTCTGAGCAATGGCAGGGGGCCAGGGTGGTAGCGGTCAGGGGACGGCCCACCTTGGCACCCCCACGATGCCCTGACGGACCCCTGGGGTCAGAGAGGCTTGGCTGCTCATGTAGTAGCATCCCCACCCCACCCCCCACTTCATTGCCGTGTGACCCTCAGCAGGTGAGCTGCCCTCCCCGGGCCTGGCTTCCTCGCCCACCAGTGGAGCAGGGATGCCAGCGCTTCAGTGAGACGGCAGGAGGGCGCCTCACCCCCAGGGGCCCGTTCCCCAATCTGCGGGAACTGCTCTGGTCCCATCTCTCCTGGGTCCCCATCTCCCTGCCTGCCCAGCTGCCCCGCTGCCCCCACCCCTGTGCACCTCGCTGTGTGTTGGCTCCAGAGAGCCCCCGCAGGGGCCTGGCACCTTCTCCCGAGCCCCTCTGAGGCTTGACCGCGCTGTCCTTCCAGCCTCCAGGCCTGGGCTCCAGCCATGCCCCCGGGGGTTCAGCCTTCCGTGCCCGCCCGCCTGCCCACCCCAGCAGCCCCTGCTCCATCACCCGGTCACGGAGGGCCCCCAGTGCTGCGGCTCCCAGGGTCAGCTGAACCTGTCAACGTGCCCCAGACGAGTTCACACCGGGACGAGGCACAGCGGTCCCTCACCTCCTTTGGCCTGGACTTCCTACCTCTGGTAACAGAACCTGTGGTTAAACGGTAACTGCTAGCTGTCCCTGCTGCGGGCTTCCACTCGAGACCTGTCTTCTCACTTACAAGGCCTTCGTGGCAGGCCCCTGACTGTGTAGCCACCCCTTGCACCTCCGCCACAAACCTCATTAGCCGAGACCTGCGTGACGGGGACGTGGCTCTCAAGTCTTGGCCGTCGGGTGCTTAAACCTGAGCCACAGGTATCTTTCTTCCCTTTCAACGTTT